GTCTTGCTGCTTACAAGTCTGACCTTGCAGTCTAGTATTTTTAAACTTCACTCGAGTCGGCGTTACACGACGACAAATATCTCTAGTTGAAATCTATTTGAGGAATTGAGGATCGAACAAGCCCTACACTGTCGTTGCACGGAGGAATAGTTCCACGTAGCATGTCCAACCGGCGCAAAGCCTGGATCATACGGGATAGTTTGGCCGCTTCAGCCGCGAGTTCTTCAGGTTGCGGTTAGCCGAGTCTACCTTGGTGAAGTACATTGAGTAAGACAAACCTGCCAGTGCCTCCCGACTTGCGCTTGCTGTCCGATCCGCAAGACTCGGCTCGGGTGACGGAGCCTGGGATCTTCTAGCTCGCTCAATATCCATGGATATATTGTTGGCCATGATGTCTCGCTGTGGTACCGGGTTAAAAACTTGCAAATTTGATGGCGACATATGCAGCGCAGAATGGAGTAAATGCGTCTGCCTCTGTGCGGGGCCATGAGAATTTGTAGCCGCCATCTTTGGTTGCTTCGATGCCTTCCAGGACGATGGTGAATGGCTGTGCGGATATTAAATAGACATTATATAAGGCCTGCCTCGAGACAAAGCATACGCTAGGCGAATTTGCGGATTTAAATTCGTTTAAACAAAGGGAAGCAGTAGCTCATGCAGAAAGATCCTGAGTTGTTGACCATGCTTCTGCGAGGACCCACGGCCGTTGATTAGAATCCAACCACGCTTTGACCGTTTAGGGTACTTATTGTCCACGCAAAGATAGGCGATACCAGAAGAAGCTCACGAACGATGAGAAAAGTAACAAGCACAGAAATGTAAACATTGTTGAAGCAGCTTTGAATGAACTATATCACATTTCAGACGCGCTCACTGCAGGTTTCTGGGGAGCTTGATCTTGGTTAGCCAGCTCGAAAGGGGTTGAAGCCTCGCTTGAACACCTTGACGTCCTGTGATTGATGACCTTGCTGCTGTCCAACCGGTGCACCACCGCGTTCAGGACCGCCTCGAAGCTCTGGGAGCCCTGTTTATCCTCTTCGACGCCTTTTTGCTTGATCAGATGGTCCGTCACGAGACCCAAATTTTGACACACTTCATAGAGGATGTCGGCAAGCTTAGTAGCCTCTTGTAGCTCGTTTGTGGCATGCATGAGGTTCTCTTGGGTCGCCGCGAGCTCTTGCTCTAGCTGCGTCTGAATTTGCTCCGTACGAAGCGTCCAGACTTTGAGCGATGCAATCATGCGGAGCACGCCCTACATTCGTAGTCAGTACCCACATTGCTGGTACTGTAAAATAAAGATGCTTACTGAGTAGTCCAGAGTACTGGAAGTCATTGCTGATGAGGCGGGCTTTTGTCAACGATTGAGGTGTCCGATGAAAGTGACTTTTTGAATCTTGAGACATCAACGATACTGTATGTGGAAATGATGAATTTATAACGGAGGAGCAAATATCACAACAATCTGGGACCTGAAAAGTGGTGATGATCTGCAGTAAGCATACTGATTGTGATCTGCTTCACAGCATCAACGTTTATATGGCCACCAAGGAAACCGCCACCATCGAGACAGGAGAGGGTCGGCCGACGGTCGCAACTATGCACCAGATCGTTCATCTGGTCGTGCTGTCATAAGCTGTGCAATCCGCTCTCCAGATACTGAGCGAATAACAGGATCAAGCAGCTTTAGTAAACGACGAGCTGCTGTATATCTCCCTTCCAACCCTACTCATTCTACTGTATGACTCTTCACAGTGTCCAACTCCTTTTCCAAGACCGGCGGTTCCCACACGACCGCGACAACGGCTACTATATCCTCACCGAGTAATGATTCGACTACTTTCTCGACTTGCAAGCTTGCTTGGACTGGAGGTGGTACACATCGTCATCGTTCGCCGGCCTCAGGATGGAGAACGCCGCATTATACAGTCGACCTTTCCGCCGGATTATCCGACGGTATGACTTCAAGAACCTGATCCCTGGGTAGAATACCATTGATAATGAAACAGGAAATTACCCTGACTTTCGAGGAAAGCGATGAGGAAGCGTACCACAACGACGTCAAAATGGGTGCCGAGGCGGAATTTTGTCAATGAACGACCTGGCGCGGGAATGGTGGTCAGATGGCGGACAAGCCATATACTACAGGAATATTCTGATATTTATTTACAATCGTATCTTTGAGTCTGAAGTACTGTAAGGTATCTATGTCGGGGCATCTCAGGTCGAAGGATGCGGCCATTTGGACCTCCCAGAGGCGGTTATTCTCGGTAGATGTCTTTCGCTGTGGCATAGTGAACACAAGCATTGGCGGGCTAGGCCGAGGGCTCCGACCGGTGGATCATGTCGGAATGTTTTGTATGCAACCAATCAACGATGTAAAAAGCTCGGTTTCTGTATTACCCCTGATTCTGTCAATTTATAGGGGGATTCTAGATTATATAAGTAATAAAACATGAGGGATAATTATATCTCCGGTCCCCCGCGGTATTCGTATTGACAGATCATGCTGCATGGCTACGGTAATACTGCTTACGTAATATTTCATTTTGTCCCACTAAGCGTATCGGATCAGGCTTGATATAGGACAAGCCAACAAGATTGGGAGTGGAAATCATTTGCGTTCTCCAATCAAACAAACAATGTTAAAATAGCTAAAGGAGCACGGCCGTCCTACTTTCCGGGTACTACCCCGTACATCTCCGAATCTACCTTGCAAGGTTGCCTAAGTCAGTTCTCACGGCTGTGTATCACCGTGGATCACACAACAACCAATACACAAGAACATGCAGCGGGCGGAGTAGATGCTGTGGCCGTGGACTGGGAGATGGAAATGGAAGGTCTCAATTGGCTGAAGGTGGCTGTAGACGATCGGCTTGACGCGGAAGATGCGCTCGCACTGGCAGGACTGCACTTGCTACCCACCATGAAGTTGTTGTCCAACGCACAAGTGAATGTGTCGCCTTGTATATTCAAAAAAGAGACCGTGCCTTTCTTGTCCACATCCACCCAGGCGAGCTGTTGCCCATCCTTTGTACCACATATATCAAGCTTCATCGTGCCACTGTCTGCGATGAAATCTAGTCCCTATCAGTTCTTGGTGCGGTAAATGCCATAGCACGAGACTTACCGGAACAATCTTTTCCATCAAGCTGAGCAAAAGGGGTGGAGTAATCCGTACACCCATAATTATCTTCGGACCACACCATGCACTGTTTGTTATTATTTATGATTCTCAGAGAGCCACCAAGCGCAATGCTGGCAAAAAGGCCAAGAAAAAGAGCATGTTGTGGGAAGTGCATTTCTAGAATTGGGCAAAATCTAGAGAGAGTGGAGCAAAATGGATCGGGTTCGGAACAAAGGGCATTGAAGTGATTTAAAGGTGAGCGGCGGAATAATTGGAGTATTGGTAATATTTAGAACTGTTACTGTACTCTGAAGCAATATTTTCACCGATAAAACCGCACGTCCGTTATTGTCAGTCAGGAGGTTGATTAGGCCTGCCAGCAGAAGAGGGGAGGGGCTCCGTTCTTGACCGTGTAATCCGCATTTCTGCCAAGACCCGCAGTCACGTCACCCTTTCTGACGATCCGATGCTCGCTTCGTATTCACCCGTCAAGGCCTCCGTGGATGTTCGGTTTGGACTATGGAGGTGACGCGAAAATTAGCCAGATCTGACCTGAACGAGCAAGTGCTGTTCAAGTGCCGGCTAGTTGCTATACCTTATGTGACCAAGGACTCCAGGCTACGATATCGTGGAGTCACAGGGCGAGAGCCTGCTCCGCAGGCATACTGCACAACCGGTCAACAGTAGGAGCTCAACGTTGAAGGATTTGCGCATCGACATCGTGCTTGTGCTTATGCTCGTGTAAAGTGCGATTGTGCAAGACGCATGAGACGCCTCGTCCTCCCTAAACAGCGCATGGAGATTTGGGTTACTAGTCCACTTCTTGGGCTGTTCTCGTGCAAGAGGGATGTTGCACGAACGGTGATCCTTTGGTACTCGCGGAAACAAGAGATCTATCAGTTTAGGGCAATGAACCGTTCGAGTGAAGTAATGCGGGTGGAGGAAATTGCTTTTCACCGGGGAGGCTCGTTAGACAAACAGCTTGGACGACTGCTCTGTGAACGACTGCTCTGTGAACGACTGCTCTGTGAACGACTGCTCTGTGAACGACCGCTGTGAACGATCGCTGTGAACGACTGCTCTGTGAACGACCGCTGTGAACGATCGCTGTGAACGACCGCTCTGTGAACGACCACTCTATGAACGACCACTCTATGAACGACCACTCTATGAACGACCACCCATTACCAACGGTCGCTCTCTATGACTACGGCAACCCTATACCACTAACCATTCTACACAGACAGGCTTGTCTACACGAACGATATTTAGACTTGTAGTTTTAGTTGACATTACTATGATCGTCTCTGTGAGAACGCTACTGAAGAAAACGATGCGGAGGAATCATTCTCGCCACCTCGCATACGCTGGCTTTGGTCCACAGAATCGATGAATTCTCAACAATATTTACGTGGTGTTGAAGAAACTCGAGAATGCCCCAAAAATCGGAGTTTTCGAATATATTTAAACGTTGATCTTAGTTTCAACGTTGATCTTTAATAAACGTTGATCTTAAATAAACGTTGAACAAGGCCGACGCTTCCGACACCCTCGTCGGGATCCAGAAACTAAAGGTGGCACTGGAGACCCGTTTGCCGAGGTTCTGATACTGCCAAACAAACCATTGCTTTGATGTCCAGCTAACAAAGTGATATGCTACAGTGAATGCAGATCCCAGCCTTATGTGGAAGACTGGATTACTAATTTTCCATCTACGAAGTGCGCGACGCGGCAAAGTGGAGAACGAAGTCCGAGCCGGCTCGCGAGGTGGATCTTACTCTTACCACATAAGTGATGGCCTCGCTCCTCTCATTTGCCCGAGCATAACGCGCACCAGACTGAGTGGGCCTTGCTCATATTTGCTCGAGTATAACGCTCACCAGGTTGAGGGGACCTTCTCGTTCGCTCGAGCAGTAAGCCCGCCAGGCTGAGTGGGCCTTTCGCACATTCGCTCGAGTATAACGCTCGGCAGGTTGAGGGTACCTTCTCGTTCGCTCGAGCATCAAGCTCGCCAGGTTGAGGAGACCTCCTCGTTCGCTCGAGCAGTAAGCCCGCCAGGCTGAGTGGGCCTTTCGCACATTCGCTCGAGTATAACGCTCGGCAGGTTGAGGGTACCTTCTCGTTCGCTCGAGCATCAAGCTCGCCAGGTTGAGGAGACCTCCTCGTTCGCTCGAGCACGTAGCTCGCCAGGCTGAGTGGGCCTTTCTCATATTTGCTCGAGTATAACGCTCGCCAGGTTGAGGGGACCTTCTCGTTCGCTCGAGCATGTAGCTCGCCAGGCTGAGTGGGCCTTTCGCACATTCGCTCGAGTATAACGCTCGGCAGGTTGAGGATACCTTCTCGTTTGCTCGAGCATCAAGCTCGCCAGGTTGAGGAGACCTCCTCGTTCGCTCGAGCACGTAGCTCGCCAGGCTGAGTGGGCCTTTCTCATATTTGCTCGAGTATAACGCTCGGCAGGTTGAGGGGACCTTCTCGTTCGCTCGAGCATCAAGCTCGCCAGGCTGAGTGGGCCTTTGCCATTTTAGCAGTAGCATTGCTCTTCCCGCATAAGGCTGGGGGGTGGCCGAGGTCAGAACCTGATCCTGGCTGTCAACAAATGGATTTTCATGGCCTTTTATTTTTTGGATCTAGGTTGGAAGAAAAAATCTCCCCCTCATTTGCAAGACCTGCTACCCCACTTCATTCGCTCGATGGCGGATTGGCTTGCATGTCACAGCAGTCGATGTCACCTTAATCCCTGCCGTTCAAGCCCGGAAGGAGGAATAAAAGAAAGGGACAGGGAAAAAGAACTTTGATTGGTGTTAACAAAGTATCCGTGCGTGGCTCGGCACCTACAGAAGAGGGGACAGATCTGCGAAGGATCAGACTAGACTTGACACATTTGAACCAGAAATACATACTGCGCGTTATTCAACAAAATTGTAGATAGCCTTGCTCTTGCAATACTCAGCTCCGACAAGCATTCAAGCATGATTTGTCGACAACTGACAGCTACGTCATGTACTGTACCGTTCTACCGTACTGAGACTGATATAAAGTGTACTACAGAGTATATAGGTCACTGATACAATTAATTTGGTGAACTCAAAGCCCGGCCGTGATCCCACCCGGGGAAAGCGGATGCTGAAAGCCGGCACCTTTTGATGCCGGCAAGAATAGGTCTGGCTGCTTCGTCTAATCCCGGTTCATGCTTCGTGCCGTGCTGCGCTTGGTAATCCCGATACTAGCTTATTAACACCGGAACAATCGAGAGAGACGAGGGGGTGTGGAGAATACATTGGTTTGTTGGTTGTCTACGCCTAAACCACCAGTCTGTTGGTTGAGCTGGCCAGCCTCGTTCATAATTACGATCCCGGGTTGCAAGCCCCACACACCGTGGCAATGTGACCATGGCTCAGTTAGTGAAAGGCCGCGGTCTAGTCCTCTCGCGTGCGCCGTTCAGAGTAAACGATAAGAACGCCGTTTATGCAACATGCCTGCCTAACTCCTTCGCAAGCCTGCTTCACCCGGTCATACCTCATAAAGACGCATCTGACTGTCCTTGTATTCATTGGCATTTAGGTGGCTGAAGCTTTTCCGCATTCCCACTTGTCTAAGACTGAGTCCCAAGATCTTATGTCGTCGCGGCAGAAGGTCCGGAAGACCTCGAGCGCCAACCTGGGATCGAACCGGATCGCGAGCACAAGACCAGTGACAGCAAATTCCGAATCGGACTCTGAGGTGACACCCAGCCCTCCAGCGTACCGATCGCCTGGTGTAGTGGAGATTTCCCTTCTTGCAAGCCTTGGGCATTTACTAAAACCTTCGGCTCTCAGAACCGTCTATCCAAACCATCGAAAACAAGTCCTACAAAACAGTCGGAGTGGAACAAGACGCACCGCAAATGTCTGAAAATTCTGGACGAAGCCGAAGACGACAAAGAGCGATTGTCCAATCTGGTGGCTCAAGAACGGCAGCAATCTCAACAGGCTGCACAGCAGCACCGAACGGAAAAGGCCCAGCTTTCTACTCAAATTCAGCACCTGGTGGCTGACAGAAAGCAGGCCATGGAGGAATGCGAGAGGGTGCGAACCGAAAATCTTCAGTTGCAAAGCCGCCTTGAGACGGCGACAAGCAATGCCAATAGCCTGAACCAATGGCCGCAGGCAGATATGGAGACTTTCTTAGGCATGATACATGGGGATCTATCCACCACGGCGGCCCGTATCTGGGGCCGTAGGGATGAATTGAGAAATTCCTACCTGGCGACATTCTCAGACGTGCTACAGCCACCATATCTGCAGAACTCGGGGCCTATGGGGGAGATGGGTAACCAGGTGTTCCCAAGCGCCCCATTACCTGGCACAAATGGTGCATTCCCCTCCACCAACCCGCTTGTTCCGAGTTCCGGGCCTAATGCCTAGGTGTTGATTTTATGATCCTTGCTCTAGCAGTACGTGACAGAAAGGGTGTGCAGAGCAATTCAAATCTTGCGATGTTGGTTGGCGTTTTGCGCTCGGACTTTCGTTGCCAATCATATATATCTCAGCGGCAACGCAATGCATCAATAATGAATATAGCTGAGAATTTAGCAGAGCCCATCGAGAAATGTATTCTGGAAGGTCAGAGCGCGAATGAGACCTGCTGGCCAATGCATAGCGCCATTCGGCCGCAACGGGACCTATTTTGACATACGTCGTAGATCACATTTACTGACTGCTAATCGGGAATCACATCGGAGAATTTAAAGTTTACACCACCAACCGCTAAGGGGCCAGTGCGCGAGCATGACTCGCCGCCGGCTACTGCAGGTCTAGATCTGGCCAACGGGGTCTGCTTGATGTTGGTTGGGTGGTCAGGTGGCAAATTCAATTCCCCATCGTCGGTCCGGGCCCGATCGACGTCGGCCCCTGCCTCCCGGCGGAGGTATACCTCGACCCATTTGACAGCACACGAACGAGAGGTGGCATGCTCTTGCGAAGGGATATTGTTATCAGCCAGATTTACTAGCCCAAAGTCTCACGTTTGAGCAACGTGAATCCGTTAGGGAGAAAATGAACTCGGGAAGGCTTAGGCCAGATAGCGCAGACGGCAAGTAAAACCAACACTTCCTTGGTTTTCCCCGCTCCTCCCTGAACGGTCTCCACCCGCCATCACGAGCAAATGACCATCATGTGTCCGGTTCCCCTTCTACGCCGCGGTCTCTTCTTATATCCGACTTGATCTGAAGAGAATGCGATCATCGTCGGAGGCCGGTTTATGCACAGAGCGGATGAATAGAAAAGAGGGGTAGGTGGGACTAGGTTGCACACTAGCGCAGGAGCGTGAAAGGCCCTGACAGGGGCGACTTGAACGGAGAAAATGTGGCGGCGATCATACTTCGTAGTGGCTCGGCTGGATTGAGGGCTCGATGACGTGCGTACCGCGCAGGAAGCGGATCCTTTCGCCTGCGCATGGACAGGGACGCAGAAGAAACAAGCAGAGCAGTGCTTCCATGTACTTGAATGTTCGCTCGTACCTAGCTAGCTTACAATTGCTTTACTCGGCTTAGTTTGATCAAACGAAGAGTCATTTCGGGATTTCCCAGCGCGAAGCTACGGCGATGATCATGTCCGTGCGCAACCCTGGCAAGACATCCAGGCCCAGTACATTTTTTGGATAATCTGACTCAAAGCATGCACACGTGCTTCTAGTGACGAATGCTAAATTGTATTTCCTATGCTCTGCCCCGATAAATCACATGACTATCTGTTGACGCACCCGCTACGGTGCGGCGCATCGAGACTCGAGACCTTACTGGCTGGGGCGCTTAGAGCGAGTCACCTTCCGCTCCCCCACAGGATCTCCTATACCAGGGCAACTCCCATCTACTTTCTTTTCCACAATGGCAAGCGCGGATTTGATTGTCTTCATGTCGCGGGTCAAGGCTTTGATAGTTTTTTGGAGCCGCTCGTAATTCTCACTGTGCTTTTCAAGTCGCCCTTCGACGGATCTAGATCTTGGTCAGCTTGTGGCTTTAGAACGTAGAAGAAAGGCTGAGAGACCGGAGGTACGCACTGGGTTCTCACGTCTAAGCTGATAGGCTGTCAATAATTGTAGAACAGATTGATGGCGAGGTTGTATAGACTTACTCTTTCATCAGTGCATGCGTGATTTCCTCCGAGATGCGAGGTAATTTCCGCTTAGGGGGCTCCGTATCAGACTCGACCACACTTTGAGGTTTGACAGGCCAGCTTTGAAGGGAGACATCATCTGTTTCGTGTTGGTGTGCTGCGTCGTGGGCTTCTGCAGCCACCTCGTTGTCGGACGACTTATGAGACGCCGAGTCCCCTTCATCATCTGAGTTCGCGACAGAACTGGGAAGGCTCCATAGATCCAGTGAGCGTAGTCGATCTCGGTAACGGGTCCCTTTGTCAAGCATACTGACTTTGAAGGGTGGTTGTTAGTTCTAGTAGACGGAAGCGAAGGCCTTGCGGTGTACTTAGCACGAAAAACCAACTTTATATTCGGGGCGGGGCGGTCAAGATCGAGCCAAAAGGTCATTTGAACCGTCTAGTCATCCGAAATAACACACTTGCTGGGGTCCAAGTTAGACAGCCTCGAGTCGGACGCTTGCTAACTTCTCGCAGGGTAGAAATTGGACAATTTCATATCTATCTATGTAGATCCTGGACTGGAGCCTTCGCATGATTGGCACAGTAACGCCCTCGAGACTGTGAAAAAGCAGATCAGCCTGTGAAAAGCTCTAGTGGTCTACAGGCTGCTGAATTATGCTTTGTGACCCTTGATCGCACGAATCAGAGGCTGTTGAACCGGCAACTGCCCATTTCCTATCCATGTCAACCCCTCAAAGCACGAAAAAAACACACCCAATAGTACCCGTAGTTGTTTGTTGGTGGCTTTCACCGTTCATCTCGATACTACCTCAGGTTTCACGCGCTTCGCGAGGTTTAACCAGCGTCTATCACAATTGAACGCCAACCCAATGCCGCTTTTTGCATAGCTCGGTATCACCAAATCCAGCTTCCGTTCCAAAGAACAACCACATTCGTGCACACATTCATTGTATCTTTCAGCAAGCGTTGAGAACTCATAAGAAACTCCGCATTCCCGCGTTTCCCGTGCAGATTTTAGCTGCCCTTGACCGTTGACTTGAGTTCCTCCATATTCCTGTCTCATTTCTGTCATAATACCTCGTCATTCGTGGCTTAGCTATGCCAGATCGCACTCCTTGGCCCTCGTGGGAGGAGAATAACCTCCGGGGATGGCTACACAATAATCAACACCTATCATGGGAGGAAAAGTCTGACGCATATTATGACCAATTCCAAATAAAGCGATCCGGCGAGTCACTGCGTGGCAAGCTGAATCAATTAATTCGGGGTATTCGGCGTCGTCGGCCGCTACCAGGCCAAGCACAGAGAGGCACTCGTCAGAGACTCCAGCGTCAGCGACGGTTCTTTCAAACATCTGCATCCTCCGCCCAAGCATCGAGTTATCGCTTTGCACCTTCTACGCAGCTAAAAGAGAATCTAAGAGACGTGGAGGGTGAGTACTACCCTGCGTCAACTACTCCTGAGAAAACATGCTGATACATTATCTTCCATTCAGGCTTAGCCGTTGCAAGACCACCGATCTTGACCATCAACCAGCCATGGTGGATGTCACATCTCTGGAGAGTGTTCTACCGGGTCTCAATTACCGATCGACTGGGATAGAAGGGGCACACAGGGACCAGTGATGTGAGGTGTGGATGTTTCCACGTCAAGCAAACACTTCTATTTATTGTTGGACACGCTGCTCGACATGACAATCTATATGTATTCTTTTATTGTAGCCGAGGCTAATTCACTTTGTATCAACTCATAATCCTCAAGGTTAGGCGCGCTTTGAACCGTATTTTAAGCTATCAATTCCAGAACAATCTACCATTTTGAGATGCGTGTCATCTCGCCCGCACTATAACAAAAGAAAGAAGGCGGATTAAATGGGGTAGATTGTCTCCGCCTGATCGATCACAATCTTGCAAGCCCTAGAATTTGCTTCGGCAAAATAATTCCCCAATTGGCACCAGGACAGTAGTAGCTCTCGAAATGATTATACCAACGTCGTCAAGTTCGTGCTGGGTCCCACTTTGGTCGGGCCCGCTCGCGTGCTTGGCTTCATCGTACTTAGTGCCGAGTGGCGTCAGCCCAGATTGCTAACTAAGCTCGCAGTTTAACATGAGGTACTTTTGTGTACTCTTGTCAGACAGATGCGCGTCCCGACCGCTGGCTTGAGGCCACCCCTCTCAGCACCCCCCCAAAGGCACATTACACAAGCGACCCCGCAGGCCACCGACAAGACCTGACAATGCCGAGAGACATGGAATGTCAAATCGTCATGTCGCTGTGGGTGATTTGATGGCCCGAAACCAACCAGCACCGCTAGCTCGGCCTCATCCAGCTCCATGCGCTACTCTGGCAATCAGGACGATCATCATGGTAGTTAGCCGCTGCGCTGGTAACATGATCATCCGGATCGAGAGAACGAGGACCGAAGCTTAAAAAGTGGATTTGCAGGCACAAAAACATGCGGTTACTGCAAGTGGGCTTTGCATGCCGGGCATGCCAGATGGCGCAGGGGAAATGCAGCTCAGCACCGAACTCTGCATTTAACCTTAGACATCCCGGAACGCTGTCTGAAGTCGCACTTTCAACGCGAAGCAGCATTCTGTGCTGATTTCTCTACCATGGATGGGTTGCTCAAGGTGATAGCGCGCATGGGGAGGGGTGATAGCTACGGGTCTCAGACCGAACATGGTCCAGCCGTTCTCCACTGATCGTCGAATTCTCCACCCCTGTCGCTTGCAGGGATCCGGATCCACTGTGCGCAGACGCCGAGAAAACCAACAATGGACCATCTTTGTGATTCGTGGCACGAGGCTGAAGCATCCTGTGACATAATTCCAAATCATAAAATGCCCCTTGTTCTGGAGAAATCCGCCCCAGAGCGGCAAACGGCCTGTGTGCCCGTGCGGTGAAGCAATTGAACCAAATAAAAGAGTGTTGAGATGAGCCGATGATTTCAATCGACACGAGCAACTAACGAATAGTATGTAGCGCGCATTTTCACCAGCCGAGATAGGCCAGAGAAAAGCAACAAAGAAGGCCCGTACGACATCCAAACCCAAAAAAGCCGTAAAATATGTTGGGACTTGCTCGATGGACAAGAAGCAGATTGGAGACTGCGTCAGAGTCGCACTGGCTCTAAATAAGTATGCGCTCAACCGGACAGTCATAGATGTAAGTTATATCGTTTTTCTATCCAACCCAAGCTAAGCCCTGACAGCTGCAAATGGACCTGACCTTCTTTCGCACCTTCTTCGTTGATAACGACAAGCTCAGCAAACCACTACCAATCACTCCCAAAGAATTCGACGATACCTCACCCGTGGTCGTCGTGGACTTCAGCCATCACCAAGCAGCCGAGTTGCTCGGGGTTAGCAAGGTTAAGGGAGGAAATAGGTCAAGTGAAACCCACCTGGCGGATACGTGTGTTGTATTCTATCCCAGCCGAGGCACAGCCAAGATCTGGTTGTCTGTGTAGCGTCCGGTCTTTTTGCCAAGCTGCTTTAGGATACCCAAGTCAGATATCAGATTCGGGATTTTCAACGATAAGGGTGGCAGCCAGCTGCATATGTTTGTCAACTACATTATCGTGCCCGACCGTTGCGGTAAAACGTGTGGGGAATCAGCCACGCTCTACCACCGAGGACTTTATGTCAGTACGAATACCGCGGTGGACCGGAAATATTATTATCCTTCGTGTTTATTACCCAGGCCTATCATAGTACGCGGCCAATTCTCAATGCGCCCTAATCTTTAGACTGGCGTCAACTTTAATCTGAGGGTGAGTGTGGGTGATAGAGGTGAGAAGTTTGGAGACTAGGGTGATAGAGGTGAGATGAGAACAAATGGAGGTTCTTGGCACCACCCCACCCACTCTAGGTTGATCAACCTAACCTCTCCCATAAAACCCATAGAACACGTATTTCCAACTCAAGTGGGTGTAATTCCAGCTCAGTTATGAAGCGTTTGCTCCCTTCGCGTCCCCTCACTAACGTGTCATTTGCCTATTCGCCTTTCCCGTTACCAGAAAGGTTGTCGCCTGGAATATTCTCTGCTAGAAATGACAAGGGACCAAAAGCACACATATACTCGTCTTCGGGGTCGACCTCGAAATCGAAGCGGCAGAAGACTTTATCGAAAGGGAACATGTATGTCGTTGTGACACTTCGAAGATGGTCAATTGGGATATTACAGACGGGGCCAGTACAATGACTGATTCATTCATACCGGTTGTGTTCCTCACTCGCCTCGTATTCATCCAACGCCGCTATGTTCTCGTGGTAGCTCACGAGAGCAAATTCAAAATTTTTGCTCAATTCAATGGGGTGCGTCAACGAGGGGCCACCGACAATGAGGCGACCGCCTTTCACAGATGGCAGATTTTTGAGCGTCTTGACCTCACGCACGAATGCTTTTTTGTGTTCTCGGTTTACCTCGGGTTTGAACGTGAACAGAACTACAGTCTCAGTATGTTAGAGCGCGGCATGGGCCACAGCCGGAGATAGAACAGGTGAAGGAAAATCTAATAGGCGAGATGCTACTGACTGACCTATATGAATGAGAGTCATCTTTGTGAGACCAATCGAGGTGTTCTGCTAGATAACTGACGTCGGCAGTATAGGCTCCAAGCTAGCGTCTACGTGTGGGCTAGAGAGACTATTAGTATAGACGTTTTGAGTCGCGCGAGAGCACACAATTTGCTTGGAAAGTTTGCGCTGGTTTCTACTGTGCCCCCGGCCAAGATGGCCGGCATGTAAGCCGTGCTTACCCCCGGTCGAGACCGAGACCGGGTCCGCATGTCCGAGCCAAGTGTTGCAGACACTCCGACCGACGCTCCGACTGACCATATAGCTGACTCTCCGACTAGTCTTCCGAGAAATACAACGCTATTTCATATGGTTCTTGTTTTCCTGAGACAGGTAATAACTCATTCAACTCGGATTTTCGGGCGCTCTATCACGCCCGCCACACTGCTTAGTTTCAACCATTGTTATTTCCTCTGGTACCCAGAGAAAGGCTCCGAGGATAACCGCATAGTTACAAGTTTTTCTTCCCTGTATATTCTGAACTCATCGACACAAAATCGCTCTCGGATCTTCAGCCTTCAAATCTTCAATATCAACACCGCCAGCCACTTCAGATAGTTTCCTACGGTAGCATGACGGTTGCAAACTTAGCTATTTCCCCAGCCTCTCTCATCTACCTTACCTTGCTGGTTCTTGCCGGTCATGTCGTGACCTTCATTCTTAACACTCTTCGTCCGAAAGCTTTCCCTCCTGGGCCGCGCGGGCTTCCCGGCCTCGGCAACCTCCTCCAGGTCGATAGAACTTTCCCCTTTCTCACCTATAGCAAATGGGCCAAAGATTATGGAAGCAGCACTCCCCTGGGAATCAAGAAGGGCGCAACCAATGTCGTCATATTGAACAGCAGCCGTCTAGTCCGTGAACTATTTGAAAAGCGCGGTGCTGTGTATAGTGACCGTCCTTGGCAGTTCATGAACAGCACCTGGATCTTCAAAGACGACCTCAAAGCCGCCATCTTTCAGAACAGCTCGTCCTGGCTCACCTCTTGGCGCAGGGACTTCAACAAAACTTTCGGCCTAGCGGCCATCACGAGGCTCCGGCCTGTCTACGAGGCCGAGACAGCCAGGCTCCTGGTCAAGTTGCTTGAGGCCCCGAACGCGAGAAGGAAGGATCTAGAAGCCATTCTCGTTTGTTGGATGATGAGCGTGCCGTGCCTGGGAGTGTGTGGCAGGCGCCCGGATTCCATGGGCGATCATGGCTTTGGAATCAAACAGTTCAGACATTGTAGTGACGAGTACGCCACCCTGGTCGCACCGAACATAGGGGACTTGTTCCCATTTCTGCGCTACCTTCCCGAGTTCTTCGGGATGGCCGAGTGGAAAGAAAAAGCTCGAGCCGCCAGGGAGGCGATTCTTAAGACGGGTACCCAGTTTCTGAGCGCTGCCAGGGAACAGCGCGCGGCTTTAGACGAGGGCAAGTCGATCGCATGGGAGAGCGTGCTGGCAAAGATGTTGAGGGATCAGCACGAGAAAAATGATGACATGTTCACGGTAACAGACATGGGCAACACCGCGTTTCACATCGTATCAGCAGCGACGAACACGTCGCTAGCTGTGTTCTCGATCATGCTGATGATTCTCGCAAAAGACCCACAACTTCAGCAACGAGTCAGAAACGAGGTGCTTGAGGCGTCGGGAGGCGCAACCCCCACAGCAACCGATATACCTGACCTGAAGTATACAGACGCGTTTTGGAACGAGGTAAAGCTACCTCCTTAATCCCACTGGGTACCCACCAGACTTGAAGACTGAAAAACTATCCAACAGGTCCATCGCTGGCGTCCCGTCGCTCCGCAAGGGGTCGCCCACGCTACGTCGCAGGACGACATTTATAATGGCCATCGCATCCCCAAAGGCACTGCCGTTGTCATGAACGTATGGAGCATTCACCACTCTGAGGTGGACTACGATGAGCCCGAGGAGTTTATTCCGGAACGTTTCCTGCAACACCCGTTAGGGATGCGGCCGGACCAGACGTTTGATCCTGCTCACCCAGATGCGTCAACTGCGCGGGTCACTTGGGACTTTGGGGCGGGGCGGAGGATATGCCCGGGGATGCATTCAGCAAAGCACAGCTTGCTCCTTGGCCTGGCTAAGGTACTCTGGGCTTTTGACATTCTGCCAGCCGAGGGAAAGGAAATCGACTTGAGCTTGGAGACTGGCTTCGTGCAGGAGATTGCCCTACACCCCAAACATCTTGATGTCGTTCTAAAATTGAGAGATGAGCGCGCCGAGCAGGATATCTTGGATCACTACTCTCAAACGTATGCAGCCGAGGCAGAGCTGATGGGCTGGAAAGACGGCCTATACAAGTAGTCTGTCCGAGCATCGGAAGACTGAAGTCCTGGTTTGGTCATCATACATGTTTCTTCTGTCAGCTAGAAACATGTAACTCTTGCGGTAGTATAGGTGGTGAAGGTGGTGTGCGTATTCGAAGAGCATCTCAGGGCTACGGCGCATACCTTAAGATCATTATCCGGCACCTACGGTGTACAAGACGACCAATCAATACACAATAAAGTCACCCACCGGCTTGCTTCACCCAGACCTAGATCCCATGCAGAATATGGAAAGAGAAAATCTGTATATAATCCAGGGTGCCTTCTCACGCCGGCTTCTAAGTAGGGGTGTGAAAATATACTAAGGTCCACCCGAAAGCTGTACAGGTCCAGCTTTCTCGGGCGGCTATTTTGGCAGGGCCTAAAGGCTTCCAGTATACTCGAGGTGTTCCGACTTTTCCTCTGAGACTAATTGGCCTATTAACCAATTGACAAAAAAAGGATGTTTCGCGGCTACAGGGGGTTACCCAGATACGTCTATTGCAGACAAATTCAGCAGACGTGTTTTTTTGAATCGCTCTTGCTCATTTCTATTTCTTTGCGGTGAACATTAAAGAGAGAATTACTGCTAACGAATCAGGTTTGTCTCCCAGGTGGGGAAGGTGAGATATACTAGAGAAGAAGCGATCTGTGGTACATATAAATCATGCCTGTTGTCATGGATGTGTTCTGGCACCACGGGCTGGTATCTATGTGAACACATTTATTCTAACCTCCAACGTCTTGAAAAACCTTCATTTGGAAAGCTCTCAAAAGGCCATATGCCGCTTTAGAAAGTCCAGCTGTCGGTTTAAAATGCTCTCAACATCCCCAAATACCCAATCAAGATGCCCCTTGCCCTTCAAGATGTCAAGCTCCTTGGGCTCCTTCATACGCTCAAAACAGTTGAGCTGATCTTCCGTGGGGCACGACACGTCAAACTCGGGTGTCACCATCATGGCTGGTGTCGGGGAAATATACTGGACGACGTTCAGGATGTTCCATGATAGGCTTTTATAGTATGTCTGGACGGAGATGCGGTTCTCGACGGGAATGCCGAGGCGCTCGAGGGCGGGCATCATCTCGGCAGCGAGCTGGAGGCCGTTGGGAATACTGCCATCTTCGTTGACGTAAGGGAGATACATGGGCTCCTCTCCGTCTAGGCGGCTGGCACGGTCGTGCATGGCCAGCTCGAGGATCGGCTGACGTCTTTCTGGGTTGCCAGTTGAGTCGATCAGGGGTGCGACCGCAATTGCGGCGGCGACTCGCTTGCTGTAGTTGGACTTCTCATCAGCCTAAGGGTGCTAGGGGAAAAAGATACAAGGTAAGGGAGAAGAGGGAAAAATGAAATAAAAATAGAGAAAGGCATCAAGGAAGTTACGTACTCAAATGCTGCTGCCGCAAGAGTAACATTACCACCAAAACACAGACCCCAGAGCGCAATTTGGTTCTCATCGACTAAGGGGTTCTCTTTGAACCAGGTTACGGCATCGTGGAGGTGTTCAGCTTGCTGTCTCGCGTCGATCTACCCCGAGACAGAGGGTTAAGAATTGAACTTCCACCTAAAACGGACCTGGGTTTACCAAACTCACATCATTCCTTGGCTCTCCATCGCTGGCCCCTATACCGCGAGGGTCGTAAAGAAGGCAAGTAATACCATGCTCTTGAAACCACTTTGCGATGTCCGGCAATATGGCATCCTTGGGCATGTTGAACTACTCAGATGTCAGTCAATGGGTGCCTCGAAGCCATCGCCAAGGGGTTGATGGTACGGGTACGTACGCCTGGGGACATGATCATGGCAGGGCCGCGCTGTGAGGCGGGAAACAGCCAGCCCCGGAGGGTGAGTCCATCGAGGGTTATGAACTCGACATCGGAGTGGGGGAGAGCGTTTGCTGTCATTACGTTCTTGTATGAAAGAGTTAAGCTGGAGACGGATGATGAGGAGGAGGATCGTGGTCAAGGTACTGGGCCAGTGTTGTTTCACAAGACGGAGCATATTATACAAGTATTAAGTATTGGGCATAGGTCAATACGGTATATTTTACAGTAATCATCAAAGTAGGTATATCGGTGGCCCGGACTTCGGAGATGAACGGCAGAGCGGGCGAAGCCATCGGCGAGTCGGCGACCGATCGGAGGAACCTTAACCTTATGCTCTTATCAACCCCGCCGATCTCTTATCCCCACTTCAACCTTACCTTAGCTTCCCTAAAGAAGTAAATATACAGATTTCTAACCATTGTGAGTGACGAGTTGACTAGTGCCATAGCATGCTGATATAACTTGGTATTGTTTGTATAGCGGGGTCGCCCGTCTCAGAGAGACGTCTGGTGCTTCTAGAAGGATACCGTAGGACTCGATCATCGAAGAGCCCTTATTGGTTATTAGGCGGAAAAGGTATCGCCTTCGATTCGTTGACTTGTTACTATGATGTCGTATGTATCTTCATCCATATACGTGTAAAAACAAAGATGCTTTCGCATTTTAGAATTCAGAATTCTCAAGATAGAGTCAATGATCCACTCGACCATGCCTATCCGTATACCTAGTTGCAAACGTCATCCAGCCTGGAATCGATCAAACGGTCTTCTATCCCTCGTCCTAACCGTAGTCAGATTAGACAGATAACTGAAGACTTTAAACGATGTACACATGAAAAACACAAAGCGTGAAGGGACCGAAAAAGGTAATTTTGTCTTAAGACATCGACGAGACAAGAAGCAAAGGAACGCAAAGATGACCTCATATTAATCTGAGGCGGAAAGCAGACGGCGATAGTCCTGGGAGCATCTCCACCAAGGACCAGAAGATTCTAAAACACATGCAGCACACACTATAAAATTAATATGTAAAGCCGGGCCCTCCCTTTACCATCCACCCTGAAGGCTTAGCCGTCACAGGGCCACTTCGACCATCCTATTCAAGCAAAAGCAGCGCCTCCACTTGAACCATGAAGTCTATTCCAGGGAGTGAAAAAACTCAGCAGACAGGCGAATCCAACCATACCGACCGAAATCGCAAAAGTGGCTTTGAGGCCTGCCATGTACGCAAGAAGAACACCATCTATGTCGTCGGGAAAAGCTGCGCGAATCTGTGTTGCTCCCGTTGCAATTAAAGCCCCGGGATTGACATCAGGGGCCGTTGTTGCTAATTTTTTGAGCATCGTGTTCACGAAGGCTGACTGGGCGGCCGAGACGCTGAAAGCTCCCCCGAGAGTTTGGGCCACTGAATTCGATTGCTAGATTAGCTGAAGAGTCTCCGAGATATCTGGGGCCTTACTTACGGAAAATATAAGCTGTCACTGTTGACATATCTTGGGCGTCTGCATTTGCCTGGGCAATGTTCATGGGGACAAGCCACGGAATAACAAAACCGAAGGCAGCGAGAATTTGATAGCCAATCCATTTTCCAGCCGGGGTGCCGATATCCCATGTGTAGATCAAACCGGTTCCAATCGTTGCGATAGCAGATCCCACAAGCATGACTGGTGTCGCAATGCCGGTTTTTTCAACGAACCCGCCTGCAATAATAGCTGCGATACTAAAGGTGATCACCATTGGCAAGTTCCGTACTCCGGACCCGATAGGGCTGGTATTGTCAATGCTTTGGAAGTAGGTTGGGAGATAATAGAGGAGGATGAAATAGGCGCCGGCAAAGAAGAACATATATGTTGAAGGAGCCCAAAGAGAACGTTTCTTGAGCAGCCGTCCCACAAGCATGGCGCGCTCACCCAGGTAATATTCCCAGATTGCCAAGACGACGAGGATAGCGACAAAGCCGACGAGTAGGCCGATCACTTCACTTGAGTTCCAGGGTTTAGTTTGTCCTCCGTACTGGAGGGCGAGGATGAAACATATGATGAGGCACATGAGCAAAGACACGCCAACAAGGTCCATATTTAAGATCTTCTCTTTCAATGGCGCCTTGACCGGCTTGGCGCCTTTCGGGGAGTGGAAGAAGATCAAAATGATCGCGGCTGCAAGACCTCCAACCGGCAGATTAATGTAGAAGCACCACCTCCAGGAAACCTTGTCTGAAAAAGCACCACCAATGAGCGGACCAGCGACAGCAGACAAGCCATAGGCAGATCCGACCAAGCCCGTAAATAGAGGTCGTCTTTTGGGCTCGGAAGAGAAAGCAATGATTGTGAACCCACCCGTCGCCATACCTGCACCGCCCAAGCCCGCAATCGCTCGTCCAGCAATCAACGCGTTGGCATTTGGCGCCACGCCGCATATGAGGCTGCCAACTTCGAAAATAAAGAGAGAAACGAGGAATGTTGTTTTTAGACTAAAATAACGGTATGCTTTGCCCATCGAGGTCTGGAAGCCACCGAAGGTCATGAAGTATGCCGACGCGTACCATGATACTTTGTCAAGGCCGTGGAATTGATCGGTGATTTTTGGGATTGCGGTACCGACAATTGTCTGGCAAAGTTAGGATGAGTACAAATAGGCTGTAAAGATTAGATTTACCCACTTGATCAAGAGATATGATAAACGTGGCGAGCATGATAGCCACCACAATAAAGAATAGACTTAGACCGTGAGGATACTCGTCTGCTGCGGGTGCCTCATCCGCCTCCGGGGCCGCTTCAATGGGAGGCGCCGACCCATTCTGCTTCTCATTCCCAGCCTCATCCTCTCTGTCCGTCGCTGATGTAGACTCGTCGCCAGCTCCATAGATGGGCAAATCTTTCTTTTGGTCGACTTGATGATGTTCCGCCATCTCGCTCGAATTGTCGCGACTGCTATGGTACAAGCTGTCGTGTTAGAACATTCGTTAAAAAGGCACCTAAGTAAAGTATGTTTGTTTTATGAATGAACCCTATGCTGAGATTGGCCCTTGTCCCTGGTCGGAGAGCTATTACACCGATCCCGAAAACAAAGAAAAAGAATGATTGGTAAGAACAACTGTATGCTTGTGAACAATTTCTACCTTGGATTAATAAGTCGAAGTTATGAACTACCTAAGCATTCTATACCCTGGCTCTCGTGCAACGGGAATCTTTGAACTGGATAGATTAGCAACTGTGTGCTCGACCGGAAAGTCCTTCGTACCGACTCCGACAAGGACCCTTGCATAAAGACATTTGATTAAGTAACTTAACTACAGTAACTTGACTAAAGCAAAGGCTTAGTAAGGCACAACGTAACTTAGGTAATTGGCTAGTTACCTAATAACTAAGTAAGTTAACTAAGTTGAATGATTAATAATTGATAAGCAAAAGTTATAAAGCAGTCGGTACCCAACATTCTGCGCAGTCTGGGACTTTTGCAAACAGCGAGCAGAGTCGGGGTGCGACCATAAGTGCGGCTGAGCGCATGCAATGCGGGTCGGAACGCGAATTGCACCGAGCCCACAAAGACCAATGCGCCCTTAGCGCATTGGTCCACGATAAGGTGCTGCTTGTAATAGGCAATATACGTAAGAAAACCCGTACTTTACACACCACCAACTGAATTACACTATCATTGATAATCGGAGGTCTGCGATGCTCGGGGTCGGTTCTCCGGTGGAATTGGCCGGCATTTAGGAGGGCTCATCGGAATGGGTTGACTACCGCGGTCTCGCGCAATCGTTGCTGTCACGTCCATAGGAAAGATCTATGGAGCATTCTACATCCCGGCCTCTGTGGAGTACGAACTGTTGAGACGGTCTCCCCTTCATTACCCGCCTCTCATTTAAGGGATCTGCCGATTCCTTGTCTCCTGTCCTTCTTGATTCTCTCTTGGTCCAATAGACTACTCTCCACAGTTTCCTTCTCCTCCTTTGATAGCTCTGTGGCTCTCCTACGAGCTTTCGTGAAGGAACTGTCGACAAGGGAAAAACAACAAAGGCATTTCATCTCGCCAGCAAGGAAGCCGAAAAGAGATGGCAACCGAAAAGCCCCAGGAAAGCCACTACTGGCTGAAGCCTGATGAGGAAGAACGCGCCAGGTACGTTCCTACTCGCTAGCATCAACTGTCAACTGTGTCGTAACTTATGACCATTTCCAGGCTTAACAATCAACACCGGGTTCTGATCCAAATAATTGAAAATGAAGTGCTTCACGCTCCTATTGATCCCTCGACTATCGTCAGAGTTGCAGATGTGGGAACAGGCACAGGGTGAGTCTCATGCCCTTGGTGTCTTCAATCTTCAAGCCTACTCAACGATTGTTCAGTATCTGGCTCGACGCTCTTGCTGCCCATCTGGACCCTATCCCGACAGCGAGCGGCCAACCCCGCCAATACGACGGCCTCGATATATCACCCGCCCACTTTCCCGCTTCTCACCCAGAAAATTTTCATTACGATGTCTACAACATTCTCCAGCCTGTTCCGGAAGAATTGAAAGAAAAATATGATTTGGTCCACGTCAGATTGTTGGTGGCGGCGTTGTCAAAGGGTGACATGAACACAGCGGTGGACAATCTTGCTCAACTTCTAAGTAAGATTCCAGCCCGGTTTGATCGTATTTTGGAAAAGGGGGAAAAGGGGGAAAAGGCTGACTGGATCTTTGAAAAGGACCTGGAGGGTGGATCCAATGGGATGAGCTTGATGGCGACTCGTGGGCTGGCAGGGTCCCCAGCTCCCATGTGAGCGAAATGAACGAGCTTGTCAGGAAGCACATGGGAACTAAGGGTATGGAGCTGCAGTAAGTTCAAGTGTCATCTCGTCCTTCATACAAATACTTACGTTTTAGTGTTCCCGCTGCTTTTGTTGAAGCGGCAGAAGCTCATCCTCACCTTCAAAGCGTGTCCGAGAGAATCTTCAATACAATCAAGGGTGGATCTGAGTTGAAGGATGCTGTCAATTTGGTCTTCCTATGGTCGTGTACCAGATCTACAAAAATGATTCTTCAGGCCAGCGGAACGCCTAGGGCGGAGGAGGAATTCGAAAGGCTTGCCGAGGGTGCCAAGGCTGACATTGAACGGGATGAGATTTTTTGGGATTCAGATGAACACGTCTTACTTGCACAGAAGAAATAGGGGGGACTGGATAGGCCCGGACATTATGGATTGGAGATTCATCTCGAATCTAGGTACGTACCATACACCAAAGACAAGGGAGTACAATGGGCCACGAATTACCTGGTGTAGGGGTGGAATGCATGACATAATAAATGAGGCTGCGACCTGAGGTGTCATGCACGCGTAGGAGTATGAATAGCATCTCCTACGTGAGGATAGAGAGACATGTCATCTACCCAATTCATTCCGGTTAACACCAAATTCTTTGATTTATGATGCAGCATTAAGAATATCCCGTACGGCCTCGCCCAAAGCACCGTACGACCTCATCCAGACTGTTCTTCACATTTGACAGGGTGTGTGTGTGTGTGTATGTTATCCAGTCTGCATTGCCAGACAGCCATCGTGCCGTTCCCATTTCACTATATAGATCGGGTGCGATAGTGTCGGAATGAAATAACGATTATCTAAGCACTAAAGGGGTCATTGGCATTTTTGGTCGAGTGGTCTTCGTTTTGACAGATAGAGATAGTCATGTGACCACTGATTGTGTATCCTGTTAACATCACCAGCCTTCGCATGTTTGCACGGTCGGCCTTCATGCCATCTCAGGCTTTCTTTCCTTGGGTTGATCAGGAGCCAAACTATTGGGTAGATAGACTTGTGAGCGAGTCATGTCATCATACGCGGGCTGTGGGCCACCGTGCCACCGTGGCCCTATGTATAGTGAAGCCGTTCAATCTCACCATTGCCAACGGGTTTAACTGGTCGGAGATTCGTCATTCTCTGACCTGATTATGCACGCGGATGATGGGAAAGTTCCGACTGGAGGTTGATATGAATCGTGTGATGGTGGTAGTGTGGGTCTACTATAGTTTCGCCGTGGGCCGCGGCTCAGCTTCATGGAGCCTTCCGGGCTTTCGGTTTACCTAATCCGTGACGGATGGCCCCACCCGTCCACTGTGTCAAGTCCAAATTGATGGGTTGACGCAATATATTGAAGATTGTAGTCACTAGTCAATGCAGATGGATTGACAGCTTATCCCAAAACCGGGGTCCTCTAAATTCAATTATAAGACCTGTGGTGTTGATGGTCTACTACTTCCCCGTCAGTCCTACGTCGACCACAGGGTTCCAATGTGTCTTAATCGCCTTATAAACCAGTAAACTTAATTCTTCAATGTCTAACCCCCAATTCCTTCCGTCAGTGAAGCTCCGAGTGTTCCATCTCTGTCTGTAACTTCTGGATCACTTGTCTTAGCTTCTCGTGCTCGTTTGGTATTGTCTCCACAATGTCTTTCACAAGAACGAGAAGGCCCCCAGGTGGTACTGAGCTTCCTGCTGCTGCCTCGAGCCGCGTGGGATCTGGAGTATTGTAATTGGCTGTGTTCGGTGTGACGGGGGCGAGATGATTGCCGGTGGGTCCACTTTTGCCATGGCGCATTGATGGGTTACTTTGAAACAGGCTCCGGTCGATGCGGTTGATAAGGTGCATTAGCAGCTGAAGCACCATGACAAACTGGGCCACTGAGGATGGCCCTACATCGCGGCTTTGTCCCGTCCGATGGTGTCGTTGCCTTGGTTCCTTTTGGGACTGTAAGCACCGATCGATGGAGTCGCAGATGGCCCGAAACAGGGCCACAAGATGTTGGTGGCAGGCGAGTGCTGAAAATGCCAGCGAGTAATCGGTTGTAGTCGGGTGGAGGGTAATGTCGGCACAATCTGACGCAGTGATCTTATTCATGATGCGTATTAGGGTATTAGTGTCCTCCAGTGCCTCGTTCACCTCAGGCGACGATACGGTCAGGGGCGTACGGTCCGGAAGGACAAGACGTCGCGTGGCCCGCCTGGCTCTTTGACCCAAGGACGTCAGCTGCGAGGATATGGCGTCAGCCGGGTCTCTGTTGTCCTCGATTTCATCACTGTCATGGCCGCCATCGATTGTCGACGGAGCAGTGGAAATTAGACCCGTGTTTGGCGCGACTGTTGCTGCCAAGGAGCTGAACAAATTTGGTGAAAATGGCTGGAGGTTTGCATCCCAGCCGTTGAAGTTGGCGACGACTCCGCTCTCATTTATGCCAGAGAACTGACCTACTAGGTCACCCAAGTCGGCTCCTAGGAATGGGCCGCCCTGATAAATCGGCCGGGCTAGGCCTTGTTCGAGCCACGATGTGCTGCTCCCATTCCTAGGCCCGTGGTCGGTGTCTCTTCGGACTGATGTCTGAGCAGAGCGATGATTGGATCTTTGTTTCACTATTATAGGGGACAATGCAAGACCTTAGTCAACTGCGCCTTATACCGCTCGATCAACACAAAAGTGAGTTGCAAAAACAGATTGCAGAAATACATACGGCTGTAAACACAGTCCACTCCCGCCTTTAGACATCGTTCACATGGAGACAGGGAAGATCGGTCTGGTGAAACTGCATTGCTTTCCCCTCCTTGTGCCTCATCTCGAAGGCATCTCACCTTTTGCTGGCGACAGCGGTCACACGATTGCCGGTGTGACATTATAAGCGCTATCGCTTCTCCACCTCAATCCGATCTCTCTTTTGATTCGGGCCTGGCCTTTTATATGTGAGCGAATCCTTTTTGCCAGTGGGGGCTGCCTCTTTTAACTTCCCTGTCGCCTAGTATGGCGTGGACTACATGGATATATATAAGCCATGTGTTAGGGCTGTCCTGAGCGACAGATGGAGTTGGGTGTATTCACGGATTGGGGGCGAAGCTGGCGTAAATCGCACCCATTTTCACCACTATGATGGCGTGTGCTAACTAGATACGGCACAGAATTGTTGTTTGGTAATTCAGAAGGGAGGAACGTATTTGAGGCCCACTCTGCTCGCAGCAACCATGGCATTTAAATCGCAGCCTCATTTCACATGCGTTATGCACATGCAGGATCCTTCGGGTAGTTAGTTATCGGTTCGACGCATAGTTACAATTACGATTCAATTATTAAGCACCTTATCATCGAAGGGTCCCTCCGAGCTAGATCACTAGCGTAAGTTTGAGAGAAAAGAGAGATAGTAATGAAAACTATGCCTACCCCCTTCCCCTCAATCCTTGCCTCTTGGATAGGCGGAACACGCCTATTAAATCATAGCATACGCTAGCACCGGATGTCTTGAGGTGCCGACAAGGATGTTCTACGTGTAGGATTATCTAGCGCGGCTGGTAAATCCCTACGGAGGACATCCATTGGTATCAGTCATCCATAGCGAATCTTAGCCTCGTACTTAGTTAGGATAATATCTGTTATCCGCGTAGTCCCCGCGCTCAGCTCCCCGCCCCTACGGGCCCTGCCCCATACCTTACCCGTCCAGTGGCTTCCCCAGGCTTGCCATTCCAATTACAGTACTAAAGATACATGTACTTAGACTAGTTGTCATTTTCGGCGGCTTGGGTTTCCGAGCCATTCGGCCTACCATCAGCGCCCCACTTCGCTTTGGTCGTGGGTGCGTACCACCTCGGAACCGCTTTTCCCGCCGGGACAGTCAATTTCACCAAATCCATTGAAATTTACACTTGTAAGATCATTCGCACCACCCAAATACGCCCACTGCCTATCCAAACCCCTTCCAACCCCACAAAAGTGCGTTTACGAAGATTACGGACTGATTAGGGCGAAAATCTAGGCATGGAACTTTAGCCTCAGACGCTAAGATTTTCTGTCAGGTATGAAAGGATCGATATGGTACCGAATCGTCTGAATTACCGATAGAAACACTACATTTAACAATGCAATCAATAACTGCTTATTTGGATTGCACGTATCTTGGCGCCTCGGATCTGTGATATCTTAGTAACGGTTGTACCCATGAGGATTTCAACCACCATAAATCCTCGCTGATAACTATAATACAGGTGATTGACCTCATTTCTCATGCATTCAGAACAGTCTATATACCCATTCATCTTTTATATGCTCATTCTGATCCCAGGCCTCTGATTAGCCAGTAAACATCCTACAATCGTATGACTACATAGATCTGGCACTCACCCGCGAAGGGTCTAACCAACCCGCATAAAGGATAAATGACTAAGCGAATAGATACCTAAAATATGAATTTTCTGTCTAAATTGTGACTTTTTTCCTTAGACCAGTCACGTGGGGACCCTGAGGGTCACCCTCAGGGTCTAGAAATCGGACCCTCCCACCCGCCAAGAGGAGGTGCGGGTGGAGGGTCCAGAGGGTCACCCGCGGGTGAGTGCCAGATCTATGACTGTGTAGTCAGATTACTATGTATCAATTTCCTTGTCCTCATCGTCCATGAGAGTCCATATGTCTCCAAGCGCTGGAGAGTACTAGCGGACAGACGAATAGGTAATTCCCAAGCCACGAGAAGACCAAAATCCATGGGATCTGGAATCCTTTGTATGTAGACTTCGGGAGCTTGTTTATAATGCTGGAAATTTGAGTGCAGTTTTTCGGGTTTTCAATATATACTTCTCAGGTGCCAAATGAGTTAATCAAGCGAGGATTGAAGCTCTTTGCTATTGCGTATCAGGACTATATTCTAAATTAGAAATTTGTAGAAGAACCTTGCGCTCCCAGGGGGTATATTATTTTGGGCACTTGATATAGCTTTATCAACGCCTAGTGCGTTGCAAAAACGGCTCGCGGACAGCAAGGAATAACGGAAATAGCTCATCTTAAGAATTGAAACGCTCTCTCTAGAAAACCAGGGCGGGAATAATCCCGACAGGCTACAGAATCAAAGGAAAAAAGCCGAGATCTCCAAACTTCCGGCTAACTAGCATGTGGAGATGACCATCTGTCTAATGGAATCCAGTCTCAAGAAATATGTTACTGGGGTAAAGCTCCAAGTGCAAAGGCTCAAAACCAGTCTATCTCAAAGATATTTGAAACCTGCTAAAAAGAAGACACAAAACGAAGGATGAGAAGAAGAACAATCCGGCAATCCTCCAATCTCTAAGGAAGAATCTGCCAAGATTGGGAGCTCGTGGCCAAAATATCGATTCTGCGATTCGATGATATATATGCCGCCTAATGTCCCAGAATCGGCACTACCAGCTTCTTCGCATGCACATTTCCGCGTTTCATGTCGTCGAGAGTCTGAGGCATGTTTGCCAAGCCGCCATCCTGGATTTCCAGGGGATGATGTCTGATGCTCCCATCGTGTAACCAGTTCTCAACCAGGGCAAATAGCCGCTTACCAAACTGCCTGAGCTCGAGCGAGGGAGGGCGCCCATAAGTTCCTGCCATCTGGACTCCGGTCCCCATTATGGCATCGGCCAGAAACCAGTCCGCACGAACATCCCTCCGCGTGTACTTGACAGTGGTGGCGATTGTCTCGAGTGCGATGTAGCTGCCACCGGAAGAACCGATGGCTTCATAACACATCTTCATGGTGGCAGTGTCGGTGACACAGTCCAGGACGTACCCTAGACTGTCGTCACTCTGCACACGGATATCAGCCCCGCAGGCGGAAGAATGGTAGTCGAAGCAGGCTGCAGCGCCATAAGACTGGCACAGAGCGTTGTTGGCAGGCGAGCAGGTGACGATGGGTGTATATCCGGCCCTGCGGCGACCAGGTTAGTGAAGGATGGTGCCGAAGACAGTCTGGGAATTCCGCTCACATCCTCAATATCTGCGTTGCCATGGTCCCTGTGGCCGTAGCACCTCCCGAGACCAGCACGGCCTCCCCCTTTCCCCCTTGCATGGACAGCTCCAGTCCGGGGGCCTGAAAAATTGCCAAACCGGCCGTAGCCATCGAAAGTCCGATCGAACATGCTTGCGTGAAGGTGAAGGCCTCGGGTATGTGGCAGCTGATGTCCTCTTCTGCCAACGCGAACTCAGCAAAGGCACCTTTCGTCTTATCTGAGGCATTTGAGCCAAAGGTAACGGCGAGTACACGGTCACCCTCTTTGAACCGCGTCACGCCTTCACCCACCTCTTTAACAATTCCGGCAAAGTCACAGCCGCCGAGGGACCCGGGGGAATTGGAGAAATCGACAATCTTTGCGTCTCGTGGGTTTAAAGCGACTGCATGCACCTGGACTAACATCGAGCCTTGTTGCGGAACGGGGATATTGATATCCTCGGCTAGACGGTAGCCGCCTGATTCAGCACCAACAAGAGCCTTCATAGTAGTAGCCATGAGATAGAGTGAGCTGCAGGGAAGGGTATAGAAAGAGCAAATGAAGGTATGCACGAGCCTATACCTCGATTTTTTTTGAGGATTTCAACGCATTAGAACTTCCAACAGTAGCCCCCAATCACGCATCGGACTAGTGACGAGAGCAGGACAGTGTCGGGGGCAGCAGTCAGCATGGTTCAAAGAGAACCGACATTGCGGAGCGAATCGGAGGCCGGAGGTACGGCATCGCAGAAATGCCGACATGAGCATAACCACCGGTGCCGACATACAACATACATACCAACCTCCGACTCGGGCATTACGTGTGCCTAAGGCTCCGATGTCTGATGGGAGATGATTTTAAGCAAGCTTATCGGGGTAGAGTCTCCGGTTCGGTATTGACTGCTTGAGGCCGTTGCCTCGCATCCTAACCTGATACCTCCTAACCCTCACTATGCCACCATTTAATCATCGATCCCCCTGCTCCTTGTCGAGCTTTTCTATCTGTTAGACTTGAAGCTCCTTTCTCACCTATATCGCAGCCTTCATCATGGGGAGTATAGAGCCTGAGGGCAACCCTCCCTACTTTGCACGCGAGCCCATTGCGATAGTGGGCAGCAGCTGCCGTTTCCCCGGTGGCGCAACCTCTCCATCCAAGCTTTGGGAGCTCCTAGAGAAACCTCGAGACGTCTTGCAAGAAATACCAGCCACTCGTTTCAACACCAAAGCATTCTACCACCCAGACAGCCAGCACCACGGAGTGAGACCGCCTCCCCATATGTGCCGTGGGAACTCAAACTCATATATCTGACTTGTTGGCGAATAGAGTGCGAACGTCAAGCATGCCTATCTTCTCGATGAGGACCCTCGCGCCTTTGATCGCGACTTCTTCTCCATTAACCCCAAGGAGGCTGAGGCCATGGATCCCCAGCAACGCTTGCTTCTCGAGACAGTATACGAGGGCATTGAATCTACTGGTTACTCTACGCAACAGCTTCGGGGGTCATCTACCGCGGTGTTCGTTGGATGCATGAGCTTCGACTACCAGTTCACTGCCATCCGGGGCATTGACAGCCTGCCTCAGTACCACGGAACTGGTACTGCCGCATCCATTTTGGCTAACCGCGTGTCATACTTTTATGACTGGAAAGGTCCCTCAGTGGCCATCGATACAGCCTGCTCATCTAGCCTGGTCGCCCTGCACCAGGCAGTTTCTGCCCTTCGAAATGGCGAGGCCGAGATGGCAGTCGCAGCGGGCTCAAATCTCATAATCGGACCCGAGCCATTCATTAGCGAATCCAAGGTGAGTTAGACAACTGCCCGGTGCAACGAATCTCCAGCACAAGCTGGCAGGTCATACGCAGCACAAGCTGACAGGTAATACGCAAGCTCAACATGCTGTCACCCAATGGACGATCCTTCATGTGGGATACCGCTGCGGATGGATACACTAGGGGGAGGGCTTCGCGGCCATCTTCCTCAAGACACTCAGCCAAGCTATCGCCGATGGTGATCACATTGAAAGTATCATTCGTGAGACCGGAGTCAACTCTGATGGCAAGACGCCAGGTATGTCTACAGGACTCTGCTGAATTCCACCTGCGGTGCGCTGAACAAACACCCAGGCATCACAATGCCGAGCTCCGAGTCACAAGCACAACTTATCCGGGACACGTACGCCAGGTGCGGGCTCAACCCAGCTCGTGAATCCGACCGCCCACAGTACTTTGAAGCCCATGGCACGGGCACGCAGGCGGGTGACCGTAAGTGGCGTCTTGCATCCCTTCGGCTCTTTCCTCGCCACTGATTCTGACGCGTACTAGCTATCGAGGCCCGGGCCATCCAAAGTGTTTTCTTCCCTAACGAGAGGGTTGGCCAGCTCATTGTTGGCAGCATCAAAACAGTGATCGGACACACTGAGGGCACCGCGGGAGTTGCCGGTGTGCTCAAGGCGTCGCTGGCAGTTCAACACGGCCAGATTCCGGCGAATCTTCATTTCAAGGATCTTAACCCTAAGATCCAACCATACTACACACACCTGCGCATTCCGACTGAGACTACCCCTTGGCCGGCCGTTCCGAAAGGATCTCCGCGCCGTGTTAGTGTCAACAGCTTTGGCTTCGGTGGCACAAATGCCCACGCCATCGTAGAGAGCTGGGATGGCGCTGGCTCCCTCACAAACGGCTACGCGCTGAATGGTAACACGCTGAAGCCACTAGGTGCAGGGCCCTTCGTCCTATCTGCCAACTCCGGCCCAGCCTTGGCGGCAAATGCTGGAGCGCTGGCCAGCTATCTTCGCGCGCATCCAGACACGGATCTGGGCCGACTTGCCTACACTCTATTCCGGAGGACAGACTTCCCGTTCCGAGCTGCCTTCTCTGCTACATCTGCGGAGCAACTTACAGACAAGCTTGAAGCGGGTAAGGATTCTCTTAAGAGCAGCTCGCGCACCGCTACCATTCCCGAGGTCCTGCCGCCCAGGATATTGGGCGTTTTCACCGGCCAGGGTGCCCAGTGGGCTACCATGGGAAAGGAGCTTTATGGCGCTTCGAGTGTTTTCCGTAGCGCCATAGACCAGATGCAGCGGGCTCTCGGCTTGCTTCCCGTTGAAGATCGCCCCGACTGGTCCCTAGTCGACCAACTTGACACGCCAGCGGCGAGTTCTCGCGTTAGCGAGGCGGTTGTTTCCCAGCCTCTCTGCACTGCTATTCAAGTCGCTCTAGTTGATGTCCTGCGTGCCGCTGGTGTCGAGCTCTCCGCTGTTGTCGGACACTCATCTGGCGAGATTGGCGCTGCATATGCTGCCGGCTACCTCGACGCCACCGATGCGATCCGGGTCGCATACTATAGAGGTTTCCACTCCCACCTCGCGCGAGGGCCGGGAGGGAAGCGCGGCAAGATGATGGCGGTCGCCATGTCGTTGAACCAAGCGACTACTTTCTGTCGCGGGTTCTGCGGGGCGCTTGTCGTAGCTGCCAGTAACTCTCAGACGAGCTGCACCTTGGCAGGCGATGCCGAAGCTATCGAAGATGCCCACGCTTGGCTGCAGGAAAACGGCACCTTTGCCCGTGTGCTGCAGGTCGACACGGCGTATCATTCTCATCACATGAAGCCATGCGCTATTCCTTATCTCGAGTCCATGAAACAGTGTGGGGTCACAATTCAGAAGGGCCGAAAGCAGTGCCAGTGGTATTCGAGTGTTTGGGGATCGGATGGCCGCAGCCGGTCATTCAACCAGGCTGATAGCTTGCTTCTCGAGGGCCAGTACTGGGTCGACAACATGACGCAGCCGGTGCTTTTCAGTCAAGCACTGGCGAGAGCCCTGAACGAAGACCAGTACTTTGATCTTGCTCTCGAAGTTGGACCACACCCTGCTCTCAAAGGGCCAAGCTCCGAGACTATCAAAATGTTGACCGGCCTCTCCCTTCCGTACTCAGGAGTTCTAAACCGTGGACAGAGTGCGGTCTCGTCATTTGCAGATGCCCTGGGGCTTCTCTGGACGTCTTTCCCATCGTCGCGACCACTAATCACCTTTAACGGTGTACGCAGGGCTTTCTCCAGCCGCGAGCCGCTGAAGCTTACCGTTCTGAAAGGTCTCCCAGCTTACTCGTGGGACCATACAGGCCTCATCTGGAAGGAGTCGAGAACATCCCGTAGCTTCCGCGCTCAGAGCCAACCTCGTCACGAGCTTCTGGGTCATTCTGTCACTCACGGCGAACGTGATAAGCGCGAGGTGCACTGGAAACAGCTCCTGAGGGTGAACGAGCTCCCATGGTTAGCCGGCCACAGAATTCAGGGCGAAATTTTGTTTCCGGCGTCTGGCTACTTGTCGATGGCTTACGAGGCCGCCATTCGATTAGTCGACGACCGGCAGTCACTGCGTCTCGTGGAAATACACGATATCGACATTGTGCGTGCCATGCGGCTCGAACAAGACTCCTCGGGTCTTGAAGTTGTCTTCACGGTTCGCGTTACTTCCCAGTCGGATGACCGCATTACCGCCGAGGTTGCCTGCTACAGCGGTGCTGTTGACTCGGTTCAGCCTTTAGATGCCCCTCAAGGCGGACTAACAGTCCATTTTACTGGAGGTGTGCGGCTTTTGTTCGGCGAGCCCAATCAGGACGCCTTGCCTCCACGGAAAACGCCTCTGCTTCCCATGGACACTCTGGACATGGAGCAACTGTACTCAAGCCTCGCCAAAGAGGGCTTCAACTACGCCGAACTGTTCCAGGCAAAGTCAATGCTCCGGCGGCTCCACCGTGCCGTGGTGACCGTGTCATCACCTCCTGAGCCCTCTTCGATGCGCGTGTGCATGCATCCCGCCCCCGTTGATACTGCCTTCCAAGGTCTATTGGCTGGCTTCTCTTTCCCGGGAGATGGTCGTCTCGGGAGCATCTATCTGCCCACGCGGGTTGAAAGTGTCAGGATCAGCATGATACCCTCCGGGTCGCATGGCACTGCCCTCACCGCCGACGCTACCGTGACCTCAACGGGTAAAACCACTTTAACAGGCGATGTAGACCTCTTTGACGCGGCGGATGCGCGCAACCTAGTGCAAATCCGTGGAATTCACCTGAGCGCCGTGGGGCAACGCCGGGACCCCTGGCTCTACGCAGGCACCACGTGGGGAAGGGATGTCAGCTGCGGAATTGAGGAGAGTGCCAGGACCAAGCTCTCGGAAGCGGACTGGGTGCTATACGAGCAACTCTCACGCACGGCCTACTTCTTCCTGCGTCAGCTCCGCAAGAAGATCCTGCCCCAGGAACTGATGCTGATGGGCAAGTACCGGAGACACATGATGACTTGGGTCCTTGAGCACCTACTCCCCGAGATTGAAGCAGGTGACCATCCAGACATTCGGCCTGAGTGGAAGGATGACACGCTCGAGATGGTGCAGCAATGGCGTTCCAGCCAACCGCCGGACAACAACGATATGAACATTCTTCACGCCATGGGGAAGAATCTGGTCGGCATTGTCCGCGGAACCATTCCTCCCCTCAGGGTGCTTACACAGGACGGCATGCTCGACCGTCTGTACGTGGAAGGACTCGGTGCCAAGGACGGTAACAATGATCTTGCCGGCGTTGTAAAGCAGCTTGCCCATCAATATCCGCGCATGCGTATCGCCGAAGTGGGAGCTGGCACTGGCGGCACTACACGGGCGGTCCTAGATGCCTTAGGGAATCAATATGCGTCCTACGCATACACGGATATATCCACCGGTTTCTTCGAAAATGCCCGCACGGTGTTTGGCCAGCATAGCAGCAAGCTCACTTTCAAGACGCTCAATATTGAAAACGATCCAGTAGGCCAGGGATTCCCCGAAGGAACGTTCGACATGGTCATTTCCTCAAATTGTTTGCATGCGACACGAAGTCTTGGGGAAACTCTACGTCATTGCAGAAAGCTCCTCCGACCTGGTGGCCGCTTGGTATTGCTGGAGATCACCCGAGACTTCCTGCCTACACAGCTGATTATGTCCACACTGCCTGGATGGTTCCTGGGCATAGAAGACGGCCGAGTCTGGGCTCCCACCGTCAGCCTCGAGCGATGGGACGAGCTGCTGAAGGCCAACGGGTTCTCTGGGGTGGAAGTATTCTCGACGCCTTCCTTTTGTTCCGTTATTGTGGCTCAGGCAGTCGATAAGACAGTACATCTCCTCCGCCAACCGCTTGCTGTTGCTCCAACAGCGCTTCCGCCATTGGGCGACATTCTCGTCGTCGGTGGTGGTGCAATTTCGGAACTTGCTTCCCAAATTCAGAAAGTCTTGCAGGCTGTTGCTCATTCCAACACTGTCGCCGTACTGCCGGGACTCGAAGGCATCGAGGTACCCAAGGGAGCAGCTGTGCTCTGTCTTAGCGATCTGGATAGCCCTGTGTTCCGCGACATGAACTCGAAGAGATTCAAAGGGTTGCAGAACGTCATGGAGACAGCAGAAGCGGTTCTGTGGGTGACCTCAGGTGCGAAGTCAGGCAGGGATCCTGACGCCAACATCACTCTGGGATTGTCGAGTACGTTGCGAGCTGAGCGCATGGATCTCAGGCTCCAATTCCTCGATGTCGATGAGCCGTCGTCTGTTGATCCGTCTATGCTGGCAAATATGCTTCTCCGTCTCGCCTTCCAGGACCCGTCCAAGACCGACGAACTGCTGTGGATCCAAGAGCCGGAGCTTTCCCTAAAAGAGGGCGCCCTCTACATACCCAGGGTGCTATCTCTTGACACCCTTAACCGTCGATCCGCCGCAAGGCACCGACAAGTCACGCAGCTTACCAGCCTTGGGTCCGAGAACATGGCTGTGGTGCTCGATGAGCGCCAGGGAGCATTTGAGCTGCAGGCTGTTCCTCTTAGCGGCGCCGGAGAAGATGAGATGCGCCTGCAGGTCTTGGCTTCTTCAATTCGCACCATGACCTGTGACGGGGACGGGCCGGTGTATATGTGCATCGGTCGGGACCTTGTTTCCGGAGACAAAGTCCTCGCTCTTTCAGCTGTGAACAGCTCACTGGTCAAGGTTACCGAAAATCACATTTTGTATCGCTGGCAGGACGACAAGACCACCGCTGAAGACACCGCACATCTGCACCTCTTCCTGGTACGCGCACTTGCTAAACACCTTCTCGGCGGCTTAAAAGGGCCTACGTGGATTCACGGCGCACCGGATGACCTCCGCGAGGCTATCAACGTGGTTGCTCGCGAGCAGGGCGTCGCCGTGTTCCAAACCACTTCGGATATGGCGATGACTTCGAACGTCAATTTCATTCATCCTTACGCGAACAAGGAAGATCTGCAGGATTTGCACCCCAAAGACCTACAGAATTTTATCAACCTAGCGAGCCAACAGCAAAGGACGTTGTCTGCGCTCATTCGTGCTTCTTTGCATGCCTCGACCATCGTGAACAAGGAAGTCGCGAGCCTGACCGCCAGTTTGAGCCTCCCTGAACTCTGCATCCTGGCCAAGCAGAGTATGGATGATGGCCTGCAGGTCCCCACGGAGTCTGTTGAATATGTAGCCATCGACAAAGTCTCAACCGCGACAGGCAAGAAACTGGGCCCTGCAGCTGTGGTTGATTGGAGTGCTGCCGATACTGTCAGCGCCCTGGTCCGCCCTCTCGAGCACCGCGGGCTGTTTGCTCGCGACAAGACATACCTTCTTTGCGGTATGACAGGAGACTTAGGCGTCTCGGTATGCCTGTGGATGGTAGACAACGGAGCCCAGAACGTGGTCTTGACCAGCCGAAACCCTAACGTCTCTCCTAGTGTCCTTGACTACCTGTCGCGCAAGGGAGCTACAGTGCGACCAATGGCCGTAGACATTTCAAACATGAATTCTCTCCGCTCTGCTTACAGCGACATTAAGTCTAGCATGCCGCCTGTCGGGGGCGTTATGAACGCCGCCATGGTGCTTCAGGATCGCCTTTTCCATCATTTATCCTGGGAGGATTTCGCTGCCGTGTTGGCGCCTAAGATTGTGGGATCCAAAAACCTTGACGAGCTCTTTGGCAACGAACAGTTGGACTTCTTTGTATGCTTCTCATCGACGACATCGATTGTCGGAAGCATTGGTCAGTCTGCCTACGCTGCCGCGAACCACTACATGGCTAGTCTCGTCCAGCAACGACTCCAGCGTGGGCTGGCTGGCTCTGTCCTCCACATTGCCATCCTGACGGGCTTTGGATACATTTTCAGGCGTGATTCCGAGCACGCTGAGACCATCTACAAGGCCATTCTTCCCCGGTTTGACAGGCAGTCGGAGACGGACCTGCACGAAATGCTGGCCGAGGCAATAGTTTGTGGACGTCCTGGCTCGGCCCAGTCCGCTGAGCTCATTACTGGCATCAGGACAGTCTTCCAGGGCGATTGGCGTGACGACCCTCGCTTGTCCGGCTACAGCGGCCAGCAACAGCTGCAGGACGACGCTGGCCAAGAGCAAGCCGCCGGGTCTGTTAGCGTCAAGGATCAGCTCGCTTCGGCCGAGGACGCTGCCGAGTGCCTGGTCATACTCGAAGGCTGCTTCGCACTGTCCCTGGGCAACTTGCTTGAGATCAACCCCGAGCAGCTGGACCACAACATGCCCGTGGCCAACCTGGGCATCGACTCTCTCGTGGCTATCCGGATCCGGGAATGGTTCCTCAGAGAGATGGGCGTCGATATGCCGGTGCTGAAGATTATGTCGGACAGCTACTCACTGTCGCGCATGTGTGATGATGCCCTTGTGGAGTGGCGGAGACTTAACAAATTTTAGAGAATGAGAACGAGCCGAGGCGGGGAGGCGATCACAGGCTTGGTAGGTGTGATGCTGATAGAGGAAATTGAGAGGAAGAGGAAGATTCTCATGTAAGGGGAGGGACGGCGCGCTCTGTACACTTGTGATTCCACTTGCTGAGAAATTGAGAATGGGTCGCTTGTGCCATATCTAAGGAGGCTGATACACGCTGTGGTTGGGCTCTAGGACGAAGAGGGGCAGATCAGCGAGGCTTTCTTTTGACCAATTATTGCCCATTAACTATCGCCGAGGTTGCGCAATGGCGCTTCCATCACACGCTCCCCCAACCAATCAATCAATCCTCTTGCTACCTCCGCGACTGGTAGCCACGTTATCGTTATCGCCAAAACGAGCTATCAGGAGAAGAGGCGGGAGTATACATGATAAGATTTTACAGTAATTTGCAAAATTGCCCTGCCTGTTTGCGTTCACTCCTTCTTCAAGTCTCTAATATCGTGAATCGCCCTGCTTGTGCACGTAGGCCAAGCGGGGTTGGCTGCCTTCTGTTGCGCCGGCATTAAGCTTGCCCTATGCCCTTCGACCTCTTTTTCCTCTCACACCTTCCCCTCAACTCCTCTATCTTGCACTCAACGCCGCCCCCTTTCTCTTCATTTCATCCCCGGCAAGACCACCTATGCTAGCAAGACCGACCAGGCCGGGGAGACTGACTTGGCCTGCGACACTGTTTCTGGTCTGCGGTACATTTTCCTTACCAAAGGAAGTCCGCAAGCCTGCCGGCCTCCCCATCATCCGAGCTCATTCACTGACCGTGGGCACCGGAAGTCCATTCATACCGCCAGGTGAGCCGAGGGTGAGGGATCAAAATTGTACTGTACCATTCAGAAAGAGTGTCGCAGCATAGAAAGAGTGTCGCAGCACAGAAAGAGTGTCGCGGATTATCAGCGCACAGATACCTTCGGCGAGTAGAATTCAAGAACAGATTACAGTAGCTTTTGGTTGGAGGGGTTCCATTCCCGTTCCTCCTTCGCCTTGGCGGAAGCAACATAGTAAAAAGGGTGTCCATTATTTCGGCCCGACATGGGTCCGATTTTACCTGCCTAGAAATCAAGGCACCTAGATTGAAATAATTTCTGGGCTAAAACCTGGGGCCACCCGGACTAATAGGAAACGCACGTGAGAAAGGCTCGTGGAGGCGATCTCCATCCCTCTCGTGCGTTGAACTAGTCTTCACCAGGCACTCACTGGGCAACATTTTCTGAGGACTCACTTTGAACAGTCCTTCACCATTTTAACCATAATATTCGTAATCGGGAGAACAGACATCGCTACCGTTTGATGATAGGGTAAACCAAGGCCGGAGAAACGGTTAGTCTTTTTGCAGTTGGTAGTATGCAGATCTATGGTCATTTCGAATACTCAGAATCGATATGCGTTGAGCCGCGTCAAGCTGAGGATATTGATTACCAAAAGAACAGCACACCAACACAGCAGGAATTAATCAGTGGCAGGGAAAGAAAAATGTTAGTGTTACGGCGAAAAGTGGGCATTACTGAAGTGTTTACTCTGTTTTCACCGGTGGTTAGCAAGCCCCTCTCAAGCCCGGGTGAACTTTTTCAACAATAGTTTGCTAAGGCCCGCGTTTATGTTTTGTTTATGTGGATTCCAGGCGCTTTTTTTGAGCGTTAAGGACAGGTCATGAAGAAGTGACGGTCGCCAATTCACCGCTGTCTCTTTATGATGTGGCTTTGCATGGTACCTCTGGAATCCCTAATGTGTAGACTAAAAATAGACACTACGGCGGCAGATCAATTCACAATATACCGCCTTCTTTATTTGTCATACATAACGAAACAGTTGAGAGAGAGCTTGTAGACTACGGAGGTCAGGAGCTATTAGGAAACACGCATCTCTGGCTAGGTGATGGAATCATAACAGCGCCTACCTCATTTGAAATTGGATCCGTAATCAATAGCCTCTTGTGTTGAGTGTTAACGCTTAAATTTTACAACCCGCAAATATACAATTTCAGCAGGAGTTACTGTGACTTTCACCGTTGCCGCAGCTAGTTGATGTCTGCTAGTAATCATTTTCGTCTCTCTTTCAATGATGATGAATACAGCAGGTACGAAGGCCAATTTTACCCATAAAATTTGCGCAATTCGTACTTTTTTCATGCATTCCATAATTGATACACTATATACATATTATTATACAGTCTGTGTGTGTGTGTGTGTAATTCATTTACCCTGACCTCTCGTCGAAGTTAGATCCTAGGTCACGTGATGTGTATAGATCTGTAGGAGTGGCTGCCTGTTAGGCAGGCACTCCGCTAGGCAGCAGGGAGATGAGCTGCTGCAACTATAAATAGCTGGATCTCTTCATATAGGTCAAATCACACTTGTACCTCAATCCAGGGTTCAACTGTCGAAACGATATGCAGGCTACCACAACTATATAAATCCATGGATGTAAATATATCGTGTACCACTTCTTAGACGAACTTAGAGCCTCGTCGCGGCCTGTCGTGACCCATAGCCTTACTCTGTGATAAGCGGCCCAGATGGCCTGGCTGAGTTGGGAAATTTCAAAACAAAGACAGAACAAGAAAGACAAGAAAAGCAAACAAAGAGTAATAGAAAACAAAATTGGGGCAAAGCACAATGAAATCATCCATCCATCCAAGACGTTTGATTGTAAATCGAGTGTGTTGAACATTCATAAGGTTGGGTTCGATTTGATTTGACTAAATCCGATGTTGTATCGCAGGGTGGTTCGAAAGGAGCATTTGGGGGAAGACGGTCATCTTCGATGGCCCACGAGATGCGAATAGCGCGATAAGACAAGACCCAGCCTTAGCTATTCCACGATATGGTCGGCAGGGCGGGCAGAGCCACCTGGGCAGGGGCAGCGTTTCGATTAGGTTCAAGTGATGGCAACACGATAGGCTGGAGACAAGGCCTAGCTACCATAGACATGAGAGTGCAGGTGTGAGGTTCCAAGTTTTCGATGTTTAGCGAGGCAGGGTGGCGGCGAACACCTTGGCTATATCGTCGTCGACGTTGGTGGTTTGTGCGATACCCCGCGATGGCTCTGGCCCCGCTGAGCACCATTCTTCCCGTCTTCCCGAGCAGATCTTGGCTTCCCCATGCGAAGGACGACCATCGCTTGGGTACTCGTCCCCAGCACCACGTAGAGGTGTCTGCCCATCGCTGGGGCATTATTATTATTATACTGTAAGAAAAGTGCTTTCCTGTTACTCTGCACGGTTGGCCCGATTACCCATGCGGTGAAATCATCCACAAAGGCAATTGCTCCTCCCTGGCAGTCGATTTGTCTTTGCACGAGGTCTGCGTCGAAGAAGAGGAATAGGATCGGGGACAAGGGTGAGCCCTGAGGTAGGCCAGCCTGTGGAAGGCTCTGGACCTCCGACACTTGCCCGTTGATTTGGATCGTCGCCGTTCGTTCTGAGCAGAATGCCTCGATCCACCGGAGCAGCACCTCCGGTATCCCTCGCGCCTTCAACCTCTGAAGCAACCGTTCTTTGCAGACCCCATTGTAGGCTCCTTTGACATCGAAGCTGATCAAACTCATCACCCGTCGGCCACGCCACGCCGTGTAGATTTGCTCTTGCAAAAGCACCAGTGCCTGCTCCGCTGACCGCTGCTTTCGGGCTCCGAAACGACTGGCCGGAAGCAAACCGTGTGTCTCTACAGTACGGCGTGTGAGATCCTTTCCGCGACCACGGATTCTAGTATCTTACCTAGTGTCGCCAGGAGTGAGATCGGCCTCCATGCTTTGGCCATGGCGTAGTTTTCTTTATTGAGCTTTCTCAATGGTATAATCTTCGCATGTCTCCACTGTCTTGGCAACGTGCCTTCTTCTAGCGATGCCTGAAATAGGTCAAGGACGCGATGCTTGACTGTGGGCCACGTCATCTTCCACACAATCGCCGGTAGACCGTCCTCGCCTGGCGCTTTCCAAGACTTTGCGACCATTAGCTGCCGTTCGACTTCTTCCAGGGTGATGACCGGCATCTCTACCGGGGCTATTTGTGGTCTAGTTCCTTCATCGGCAATGTTGTCCGGCAAGGGCGGGAAGAATTTGGTCAGTAGTTCTTCTGCTTGCTCCTCATGGTCGGTGGTAACAGTTCCGTCTGCTCTGAGGAGCTGTGGGACCTTTCCCGACTTCAGGTATTTGGCAGCTTTCCAAATGTTATCGTTGTCCGCCAGGAACTCATTCCAGTGCTTCATCTTTTGTTTCCGAATTGCGTCATGGTATTGCTTAGCCGCGCTTGCGGCCGTGCTCTCCAGCTGCGGTACCTTTCGCCCTGCCCGTCGCTCCGAGCGGGCATGGTTTCTCCAATACGTGTATATCTGACGGAGTTGTGTGAGGTCCTCCGTCCACCATCGCTTCGCGTGTGGTGACGGTTTGGCCCGTGGCGTCAAGGCATGCAGCGCCTCCGACACCGCGGACATGAGTCGATCGGTCTTTTGCTGCACTGAGCCTTCCCACGGAGTGGTAGCTAGATTTCTCGCAATTCTGGCACTAATCTCTTTCCATGGCGCATTTTTCAGCAGCAGTCGCTCTAGCTGCCTTGGAGCCGGCCACGGAGCACCAAAAACGGTCTCAATGGTGCGGTGGTTCGAGCCGTGCTCCGTTCCATGTACTCCGCACTTCAGCATCGAGTCTGTCAACTTGTCCGAGGCGAGAACGAGGTCGATAGTGGACTCGCAGTCCCCAGAGTGTCCTCCACCGTGCCATGTCTTGGTGCCTCGTTTGAGCAGGCTGCTGAGTGCAAATTCATTCATGAAGTCGATGATTGGATCCGCTTCGCCTTGCCTACCCAAGGACACATCGTCTCCTCCCCAAAGTTGATCATGGCGGTTAAAGTCTCCCACAATCACGACCTCCACCACCGTCCCTGTATCTCGTCGTACCTTTGTGATGGCTTTTCTCAAGTGATCGCATGTGTCGTTCAACGCCGAGACATCCCCGCCTTCTACGTAAACTGATGCCATAAAAATCAGTCGCTCGGGGAGCCGAATGACGGCCGCTGTCAGATCCGGCGACTCGATCCGCACTTGCTCCGCTTCCACATCCCTGTTGACCCAAAGCATGCTTCGGATTGCCCATCTGCCTTCCCTCCAGGTAGAAGGAACCATCTATGTCCATTTGTGATGTCCCATCGGGGTCGTCAAGAGCCGGCCTTGAATTCTCCTCGCCTGGGGTTCCTGAATCGCCAACGCCACAGCAGTCTGAGTTTCCTCGTCGTTCATCAGGCTCTCATGCACTGTTCCCTGTTTCCTCACATTCAGTTGCATTATTCGAAGTGTCTTATTCATGGCGTGGTGGGTAGAGTTTCCGGCAGTTCTTGCTATATGATTCATGTGGCCCACCGCATGGCACGCACTTTGGAACCGCTTGCTCACAGCGACTGTGGTGATGGCCCTCCGTGGCACATTTGGCGCACTTCAGGATCTTCTTGCATTGGAATGCCTTGTGACCAATCTCCTGGCAGTTGTAGCATTGCACCGGTCGTGGTCGATATTCAAAGATACTGGTTGTCCCAGATTCTCCTCCAACGTGGAAGTACCTCTCGGCCAGGAGCCTCCGCGCGTCAGCGCCTTTGGTTAGGTACACGACCATTGACCCATATGGCTTCGCGGCTTCCTTGCTGCTGAGCCACGTTATTTTGGCGACAGAAGTTTCGTTTTCCTCACCAAGGGCTGCCGCCGCTCCTGACAGGACGTCATGGTTTTCATCCAGTACTGCAGCCCTTTTGACGCTGTCGACCTTGATCGGGTAGAGCTCGTCCCGAAGCACCCGGGCTCCCGCACCGATCTTTGCTTCCGCCACTTTCTTCACTAGCTGGTGTTCGGCTTCATCGCGACACGCGATTCTAATCCGGTTGGTATCTCTTGGACTTACAGTGACCGGGCGGCAGCGCCAGTGAGTGTGATCATCCATCTTCCGGATCTCTATCTCGACTGTGGCCCTGATTGAACCCGCGGATGCCTTCTCACTTTCACTTTCGGTCATCTTCGAGGTGTCTATAGTGCAGTACAACGTGTCGGTGAAAGTAGTTGGTGTTGTGTTCGACGTTGAAAGAGTCCGTATGTTGCTCGGGTGACTGAGTGGGGGGTACGGGCGACATCTGCATAGGACGGGGAGCTTGCGGGGGCGGGGGTGCTGGTTTCTTCGCGTAAGGATTGGATTTCGCGAAGGATCTTATCGTGGCCGTTCTGCGCGCATGGTTCGGGAAGGGGGTTCTCTGCCAAGGTCTGCAGCTCCTGTTGAACCTCTGCAAGGGCGGCGCTAAATTCTTCCTTGACTTTCTGCAATTCTTCTTGCACTTTCTGCATCTCCTCTCTATGCGAATCATCTCGCCGTTTGATGTCTCTCCTAAGTTTCACGAGCTCTTTCACAAGATTGGCGGCGTTCGTGTCGTCGCTCTCAGTCGACGCGTCGTCCGAAGTCACCGCTTCACGTTGGGCTACTGGCTTGCCCCGGGTTATCTTCTTCTGCTGAGAGCGCGCATTTCTCTGCTGGATGTCGATTTCTTGTTCTTGGCCATAGTTGTTACGCGTTCTGCTGGTGCGTCTCGGTCTCAGTGATCGTGGCGGTGACTTTTCGTGTTCGTCGCGGTCGGGCGGTTCAGGGGTTCGCGTCTCGGCCCGTCCCGACATTTCTGATCCCTTGCGTCGAGTAACAATGGGTCTTCCTGTGCACGCTAGCCTAGTACAGTTAGACTACCCCTGGCCCCTTTTCTTGGCAGTATAGTATTAGACTTGGTGTCCTCATTGAGCGCTTGAATCTCATCAACTGGAGCCCACTACTGCCTAACGAATTCCAGCGCGCATTTCGATAATCACCAGATCATTGTTTGTAATTGTCATTATCGAGAATGGAGCATGATATGCTTACACTTTCCAACTGCATTTTTGAGGCCCATAGCTTTGTGAGCGACCACGAAGCTCCAGGAACTTCCAGATTTCTAAGTCACGTGTACTTTCTAATACCTAGCATCGCCCAGAACTTTACCCCGATATTACTTGGGACGCGCGCTCCGCACGCCAATGCCCTGAAACGACGTGTAGAAAAGGAACAAAGGCTTGGACTCGCAAAGCAACGCTATTGAAGAAGCAAGTGAAATGGGTAAAGCTTAATCGTAGCCTATATATGCCGCTCGAAATGTGAGGTCCTTGCGTAACTTTAAACTGCTTTCGATTAGCTGCAGAAGGTCAAGAATGATCTTAAGCGCAGAGAAACCCCGCCAGTACATGTCTTCAATGGCTATAGAGCCACTGGTGCTAATATTCCTGCTGAACAATAAAAACCATTACGCTGATACTTCTTTAAGGTGCCCCGACTAGCCGGGAACGACTGACCAAGTCTCCCCAGTAAAAACAAGTCCTCCGTCCAACCTGAACTGTTCCGGGTCAAGGTATACACTCATTCCAATGTTATCCCCATGTATATCAAACACGCGTAAAATCATGTAAACCTCTGAATGGTCGCTCCTGTGCACGGCCCGCATCTGGGTTTGATTAGCGGATGTATGTTACCGATGGTTGTCTACACACTCACTCTTTCATATTGATGCTTGCTCATGTAGAAAGGAGTTCTCAAAGGTCCTGTGGTCGTCTTGACTTCAATGTAATATTTCGGACGCTTGTCCCCCCATTCTTCAGCGTCAAGGTACCCGTGATCAATGAGTAGGGCCGTGAAATCGCCCTCGGTATCATCATATGTCATGTCTGCAGTCTCCCTCCCATACCAAGCCTCCATATTGGCGTAGTCCGGGTGGATCGTGACATATCGACGAATTTTACTCTGCCAATTCAGATCACTCCAGTCCGTTAGAGGTGGGTCCAGCTGTGTAAGTAATTCAAAGACCTAGATGAAGATTAGCCACATGTTAGAATTTTACCCTGAAAGTGAATTTCGGAAATGCAACGTACATATAGCTCTCCTGCGGCGCCAATCTTCTTGTCTCTTTCAAGCTGGCTGTTTGAGCGAAACGCGTTTCTTATGTCAATACCATCGAAGTGATCGAACCGATGGTGGATTTCTTCTCCCGGTAATGATTCATTCAGCTCGCTCATGTTGAATGGTCTCCTCGATGGAAATGTGGCTCTCCCCGCCGCCAATATCACCCTATTGAGCAGCGCACGGTACTGCATAGTGTCCTCCAACGTATGGCCACGTGGCGAGTACACCAGTGGTGGAAGGTTGCGATTGGGGTTGGGTGAGTGGTAGGCCATCTGGGTTTGTCGAGAAATCACATGCTCTAAGGAATCGCTCGATAGTCGGCGATTCTGACGGGTAGACGGAGTGAGAATATCAGGTGAGTCTAGTGGATCCTCACCGGCGGACTGATCCTGACTTTGTGATCGTTGGGATTGTATGTAATCATCAATCCTATGATCAACAATGCCAGGGTCTTCGTTCGGTACGTCAATCTCGATAATACCCTGGCGTTCCAAAATAAGGTCGGTAGCGGAAGGATCGATACTCAAGATCATGGTTATTACAGCTACTGCATCACTTTCGATGTTGTCAGGAATTTGTGTGGCCGGATCACGCATGAGCCAGTCAATCAGTTGCTTAGGCAAAAGGTCACAGAAGCAAAGTTCTTGGGCCTTATTGTCTTTCGGCACATAAACAGTGAGACCAGATGGCTCTTCACTAATGTGCAATTTGGCAATCAATTCTTCGACGTCCGCCACTACGCCATCTTGGGAGATTCTCAGAATCGAGGAAACTCCATCCGTGGCTTCAATCCTGGCCGTCCGAAGTAACTGGTAAAGTCCCGATGGGTTCGCATGATACCTCGGGCTATTGAACGTGGCCGCGACTCTGGCATGTAAAAGGAATATGAGCGATCCAACCCAAGCTAATGGATTCATAAAACTCACCGGAGAATGGCATGCGCCTTCCTTTTCAAGTCTCGGTGTGGCGCTGAAATTAGTTGTGTTGTGTCGCCGGAGAAGGAAGTTAACTCCTTGATGGATGCAGATAAATAGCGATGTGTGAGATTTGTCCACTCGAAAAACTCTTTCAGACGACGCACTTCTTCCAGACTGAAGTCAAGCATCTTGATCATGCCTTTGAATTGCGATGCTAGGTGTTCCCGGTCAGGAATCGCGAACTCCGTAGCAGCAGACGTGAGCCCCTTCGTTCCATCTGGGTAAACAACGGGAAATAACGGTATTTCCAGCAGTGGATCCGGATCGGCATAAGTTCCCTCTGTTCGAAAGAGAGCATTGAAAGACCAGATCTTATTTTTTGTCTCTTCGATTGTTGATTCCGAGCTTGTTTCCAACAGCTCATCATATACCATCTGAAGGGTCAGCGTATTGACTCCCAAAGTATCAATAAAGAAATCTTTTAACTCCTCGTAATGGTCATTCAGGGTGACCTTCCCACGTATATCTGTAGTACTTGACCACAAACACTCGGAGATTTTGTACCAGCCAGGTTCGCCGTTTGTGGTCACAAAGATTAGGCTTTCATCTTCGAATTCGCGCCTAATAACAGAAGTTTAGTTTTTGATGCAACCTCAACTAAGAAAAAAAAGAAGTTAATACTTACCGTAAATCATCCATGAAGGGGAAATCTTCTATTTCAAAGAGGTACTTGTACATGTCGAAAATTTGGTCGAAGTCGACGCAGCGGTTCTGGCTCCGCTCTACCAGTTCCCCTGTCAGATCTGACCATGAGGCATTGGGAATGCTCAAAGTGCGCCTGAAGAATCTTGAAAGATGTTCCAGTTGACCTTCCTCGACAACTTGCTCGAAGACGTTTTTGAGAGAATACTTCGAAATCATATTTGGTGGTGCGTCCCACAGGCAGTGCTCAAGACCGGCCCATGCTGCATCATACGGATCATCCTCTCGGAGTTCAGGAACGAAAATGTAGTCACCATCTTCAAAAAAAAAGTCTCGAGTAGAAGGTGAGCAGCCAGTTTGGGAGTTCGCGAGCATTGAACTTACTTGATGGTGTCCCTGGCGGCTACTCTGTTCTCAGCAGCAAGATGCTTTGCGTCAATTGCAATATATAAATCCCACAGTCGCTCATACGAGGTAAGGGAAGATTCATTAGGATTAGCGCTCTGGATCCAATACAGCACATTAAGGAGGAAATCCATGTCGTCGTCCTTCCCTACTAAGAAATCTTTGTGAAGAAAAGTCCACTTGGAGTAGAGCGCCTGATCTGAAAGCCCTTCTTCGAGATATAGGAACGGAAAGGGTTCAGCTTCCTCCATAAAACGTTGACAAAGAGCCTTAAGATTGGATAGAGGCAGATATGTTTCGTCAAGCCGACAGTCTTCAGGCAGATCCATATTGCAAAGTCGTGTTGCATTTGTGCTTTGAATTTCCGTGATGAGATCACCAATCTGGCTTACTCCGGACCTTTGGGATCTCCAGAGATACTCCAACAGTCCAAGAAGCTTTCCAGGGCGAAACTCCGCGACATAAGCCCAGATGTCTGAAAGAGAATCACCATCCGATGAAACAAGACTCAGGCGTTCGCGAATTCCAAGTGAAGCATTTAGCCATACGCGCCACGATGGGTGGTTTGAATGGGGCCTTGTTGGAATGTTCTCAAGATACGTTGAATGCATGAGCAATACTTCCATGCCCTGGGAGTACTCCGTCTGCCCTAGGAGGGCCTCTGGCCCATATGGATGGTTACTTGGCAGATAGATCTCTTCCTCGTGTGGATTATTCGTAAGGCCATGATCGCAGTAAACATGAATATTGCAAAAATTGTCTTCGCTTTGATGGTGCTCGTGAGTCAGATATAGATAATGAAGATGAGTTTTCGAATCTTCCATGCACAAATCGCTATACAAGGTATAATTCGCCAGTATTGCGGATCGAACTGCGCTGACAGATGGCTCCACAGCTCCTAAGTGTATGAAGAAAGCTCTGCGGTCTTCATTAACAACAGCTGCTGGATCCAAAAGGCGAATATCCACGTCGGCCGGGATGCCTATTTCACCAGTCTTTGGTAAGTATACCGAACCGCTATTAGCGGACACCCATTCACCATTTCGTAGAGGAAGAATAGCAAGCTCATTGAGAATACTCATTTCATCCTCGTCCTCATTTTCAATCTTCGACAGAAGTCGTGAAATGCGGGAGTGGAAGTCTGCGCTGGTAATATGAGACTTGACTCTAGAGGTAGAACTTTCAAGATCACTTCTCAGCATTCTGAGAACTAGGTCAAAAGTCCCCACCCTAAGTCCGTACTCTTCGAGAGTCTCTTCTAGCGCGGCCGGGTAGGCGGCGGATAGGAACGGATCCAAACTTGTGTCATCCAGCAATGGATTCCCATCGCTATCCATAAAGTCGTCTGGAAGAATCACAATGGAGTTTTTCACACGAAGGTCGTTGTTGTGTCTCGACCTCCAAACCGGGGTAATGGCAATCAAATCCCTGATGGATCGAACCAGAGGAGACCAAAAGCTACCCATGTCATCTTCTAACGAAGGAAGGAAGCTTGGCCATGCGTAGCACATTTCTGGGTCTTCGCAAAATTCCAACACTGCCTTCACAAATGTCGAGGCAATATGGGGCAATAAGCAAAGATTTCTTCTCGAAGTCGTAGAAATATCTTGCCGATTTGCGCTAGTGTCAAAGTCGGATTGTATCAGGAACTATTCTTCAAGTTAGTACATGTATGTATCGGAACGTTGCAGAAGTCTCACTTTGAACCTCGACTCGCGGACTGGCAAAAAGGCAAATATCTCCTGTTTCTCAAGCAAAGGTCTTGAATTCACCGTGAGAGGGAACGCCAAGACAACCTCTGCCTCCGAAAATGTCGTATCGGTTTCCTGTGCTCCCAGGGCGTTGCGACTGTCGCTCGTCGGAAGCCCGGTGGCAGTGTGCCTGGTGACATGGTAGCGTTGCTCAACCGTGGTAAAATTCTGATCTCCACCCACGACAGTAGCCTCGAGGAAGACACTGTGGCCAGGCTCATCACGAACACGAAAAGTCTTAGATCGACTCCTATCACCATTGTCATCATAAAAGAAGATTCCTATCTGCTTCAGGTTCCGCAAAAAAAGTAAAGAAGTTTGTTGAAGATCATCGAGTTGCTGGAAGATGGTTTGGCGGAGGTGCTCGAGCGCGTGCGCCTCTCCTTCCGTGTGAAGATAAAGAGTCATTCGGGTTAAGCGATCAGGGCATTCATAGTCAGGGTCCTCCCACACTGGTAGAACCATTCCAAGACCAAGATCACCTATTCTATGCTTAAAATGAAAGCAGAAATTGCCGGACTGGATATGAACCTTCCAAGCCGCGATGAAAACGGACTTGAATCCGATGCCCTTTGCCCCAATGTAGCCGTGAGATGCGGCTTTGGTGCTCTCCCCAACAGAACAAATGGCTGACAGATCTTCAGTCCTGAATCCATCCTCATTGCACTCAACAATGATACGATCGGGATAGACGTGAAACGAAATAAAGGGTAATTCGTTGTGTTCCCGTGCGAGCGTAAAGCGATTATCGTCTGCATTTTGCAGAAGCTCGAAGACAAACCGAGCATTGCTATTGTAGAGGTTTCTTGCGAGTCTAAGTAGCTCAAGTTAGCACACAACACCTCGGGTCACTGGAGACTACGTTGAGGAAGTGACAAACGTCTTGATAGAATGGCCTATCTTCTCGTCTTTCGCACGCAGACTCTGTTCAATTATGCGTCGCTCTTCAGGAAGCAGATCCCCAATGCGATCCAAGATCGCCGAATCAACATGTCCAAGCTTCGCAGCGATTTCTTCCACCGCCTTTTTTGCGGTTTCTCGGGTGGACATTCTGCCCTGCTCTGTTTTCGCTTGTTAGGTTTAAGCTGGTAGTCGACTTGAATGAGCTGAATAGAAGGGTGCACCCCAACCCCCCTTCGGCCCCTTCGGCCCCCACCCTTTCGCTTAAGGTGGTCCCATGTACAAAGTACACAACAGCACCAGAGACCAGCACGTGACGGGTCAAGTAGACCAATAAAAAGGCGTGCGATAAGCTTGTGCAGAACAATAAGATACGGCTTAGCATCCACCATATCGATAAACTTGACTTCCATGCAGCATGTCCAGTTGCGCGTGCAGAGGCATTCAAGTTATCCACGAATCAAAATAGCTTTGCAGCAGCTGGTTTAGTGCCAATCGATGCCGACCGAGTGCTTTCAAAGCTAAATATTCAGCTTCGTACACCCACACCCCCAGGAAGCCGTCCAAGCAGTCAGTTCTGCATTATTAGCCCAAAAATCCCTGTCACCGTCGCTGGGCTATTAAAGCATCTTCCATCAAGGGTTTTTTTAAAAGACGCTCAAATAGTCCGCCAATACCACCCTCAAAGACTGCTTTAAACCAGCTTATTAAAGGCAGCCAGATCGCGATGCATCAAGTTATCATACTTGAGCAGAAAAACAAGGCTTTATGTGCTAAACTTGAGATCAAGAAGCAAAGAAGAGCACGTACGAGCCGACAGATAACTCATAATACAGGCCTCTCAGTTCAAGAGGCTCAGGACCTTGTCCAGCCATCTAGGCAGCCAATGCAGGCTATTTAACTAGATCAACCGAGTCCGATTCTAGCCAATCAGGATGCTCCAGTGCCACGGAGACAGCGCCAATTTCACTAAGTGGTATAGTGGGTTTTAGAATAAAGTTCAAGATAACGTATTTCCCAAGCGGGTCGCCACCCCAAGCGGGTCGCCACCCCATTAATTTTCGCGTCCCCATGTATCTCTCTGCCAGTTTAATCACCCACTATGCCACCAATTCGTTCTAAATCAAAGCAAGATTCTATCGAACAAGAGGGTAGGATCGAGCTAGCAATTCAGGCTATTCAGAACAAAACGATCTCTTCTACTTCGGCCGCTGCGCGTACGTATGGCATACCGCGATCCACGCTACGCGACCGCGTCAATGGCCGCCTTTCGCAGACTACTATCCACGCCAACAGTCATAAATTGACTCAATTAGAAGAGGATACGCTTACTAAGTGGATTCTTTCTATGGATGACCGCGGTGCAGCCCCTAGGCCTAGTATGGTACGCGAAATGGCTGATTTACTGCTTGCATCGCGGGGTACCGACCGTGTTGGCAAGAACTGGCCTAGAAACTATATCAGCCGTACACCATCTATCCAAACCCGCTTTTCACGTCGGTATAACTATAAGCGGGCTGAACAAGAAGATCCACGGATCCTTCGTGGGTGGTTTCGGCTTGTGGAAGATACTATTACGCGCTATGGTATCCTACCTAATGATATCTACAACTTCGATGAAATAGGCTTTGTAATGGGACTAGTTTCTACCGCAAAGGTAGTCACTAGAGCTGAATACTATGGCCGTAGATCTGTTCTACAGCCAGGTAATCGTGAATGGGTGACTGCAGTAGAAACAGTTAATGCTTTAGGCTGGGTATTGCCGCCATTGATTATATTTAAAGGCAAACGCTATCTAGCATTATAGTTCTACGATACGCCTACCGACTGGCGCCTCGAGGTCAGCCCAAATGGGTAGATATCCGATGAAATTACCCTTCGATAGCTTCAAATACTATTTATTCCATTGACCGCAAGCCATACGCGTGGTCGGTATAGGCTATTAATCCTTGATGGTTATGGAAGCCACCTTACGCCTGAATTCGATCATTTATGCGCTGAAAACGACGTTATACCTATATATATGCCACCGCATAGCTCGCATCTATTATAGCTATTAGATGTAGGCTGTTTCGCAGTTCTAAAGCGATCATATAGTCGCTTAATAGACCAACAGACGCGTATGGGAATCAACCATATCGACAAGCTTGATTTCCTTGAAGCATACCCACAAACACGCGCAGACGCATATCAGGCTAAGACTATTCAGAATGCATTTAAAGCGACTGGTTTAGTCCTATTAGATACGGAACCAGTGCTATCAAAGCTAAATATTCAGCTTCGGTCACCGATACCTATCATTGAACGACCTACAAGCAAATCAAGCATTTATTGCCCTGAAACACCAACGACAATCGTATAGCTATCGAAATATGCAAAATCAGCTAGAAAGCTATTGAAATATCCGTCGAAAAGCCCACCAACGCCTACCAAACAGGTCATCAATCAGGCATATAAGGCCTGCGAGCAGGTGATGAAAAGTATGCTTCTGTTAGAGAAAGAAATCAAGGATTTGCGGGCTACCAATAAGAAGCAACTACGAAAAAAGAAGCTACCTAAGAAACAGATAGAGAGGTCTGAGGGTATATTTGTTCATGAAGCCCATGGGCAAGGCATTGGTGTGTAAGGGGATAGAGAAGGTGATGGGGTAGGCGCTACAATACCCACACAGACGGCTTCGGTGCCCGGTGCCAGCACCAACAGACGGCAATATAAATGCAGTGTATGCGGAAAGCCTGACCATAGGGCTAATAGATGTCCAGATAGGGGTTGAATTGAATACGAAGGCGTTATGGTTATTTAAATGCTTCATGAATATAGAATTAAATGGTTGGGTGGCGACCCGCTTGGGGTGGCGACCCGCTTGGGAAATACGTTAGAATCTCTGTCTAGGCTGCTTACGTCAGTGAAATCCGGCTACAGTACCGGCAGAGGTATTTCTCCGGTGAATGACACGACATCCTCCTATATGTCGTTACTACTCATCAATATAATTTTTCATGAGGTAATATAGGTTTTTGTAATCAAATTCGACCAGGAACTGTGATATTCTCTCCCAATACCCTTTTTGGGCAGGAGAAGGGGAAAGGCGCACATCCACGACCAGGTCCACGCAGGAAAGGAGCTTATCTTGGCAAGGCGGTCGTCTGCGAAACATCAACCGGATTCTGCCAGATATCTTCACGAAAAAAGGATACAGATAGGGAGCTAGGTCAGATCTTTGAGGACCCACTGCGGCTTCCAGCCGGTTGATCTCACGAGGACATGTCATAGAACGGATACCCGTCAGACGTAAGCTGTCCACGGTAAGTCGGGTCATAAAACGGGCTTTTCTCATCAAGGCTGGCAACATAGCGATTCCGACCTCCTTGTTTGCTATGCACACTCTTGTGTGCGTTGAGGTGATCTGGCCGCAAGAATGCACGGTGACATTCAGGTACCCAACAGATATGGCGTCTCTCGTTGAGATGCCTGTTCGAATGGCGCTTCAGATGCTCTCGACGTTTGAAGTTTCTTTTGCACCAAGTCTCATTACACTCAAACATCCCTCTCGTTTCAATGCTGACAGGATCCTCTTTACCTGGGCTGCGGGGGACGCAAGTCCTCTTTGATTGCTCTTGAACGTTCTTGGTGTCCTTTTGTGGCTCATACTTCCCCTTGAATCGTTGAGAGGCTTTCTTCTCCATACCGCGCCTGGGTGGACCTTTTAATGATTGTCCACGTATGAGGTCGGGGCTAGCTTCTAACATCTGGTCGAGCGCCGAGGGTGGCTGCCTTATTGATTCGGAGTCAAAGTCAAGGGAGTCAAAGTCAAGGGAGTCAAAGTCAAGAGAATGCAGCAAGTCCTTTGATGCGTCAATCAAAACGTCTGCCGGTGCGATGGTCTGTAGCGAATCTGTCTCGTTCGACAGTATATCAAACGGTGGATCAATGGTTGAACCTGCTCTTAAAGAGGTTGGCTGATACCAACAAGGATCTAGATAACTTTCCAGTAGGCTGGCTTCTCCTAAAGCCATGCTTTGTTGTGCGTTTACAGGACAGCGAAGTTCTGCGCGAGACATCTTCGTCTTCACCATGCCATCAGCGGAATCATGCAAGGCTTCAGCGATGGGATCTTTCCATGATAGACATATATGATCGCTTGACAGAGACCAATCATCTTTGCATGAGAAACTTTCCATCTTTATCGCAGTTTGTAACGGAATGGAGAGACCAAAATGATGGCAAATAGATAATACGTATCTAAATTAGAAAATGGATGAATAACAGAGGACTAATTGACTTGCCTTATAGTGTCTTGTTTGTGGGGGTTTCTGATCAGCTCCTAGGAGCCAGTTTATTCCCAGATTCACCACCCCTCCCAGGAGGCTACATCGTCTCCCAGGAGCACAAAAGTATTACCAGGAAATATCTTGTTTGAGCTAGTCAAGGCTGTAGATTCTGCCAATCTACCCGTTAGTACTAGAACCGTGCAACAAGTGTTCTCAGAGTTTTGTGACCTGATAACCGTTAGTCGTTTGTCTTAGTAACAAACTACATTGTTGGGTCATGAAATGCAGCACACTGACCAATATGAACGTTTGAATTGAAAGACGCAATAAACTGCAGCGGTTGTGCATGGATGGAATTAAACCGTTGGTTCCATTGAAATGCGTTCCAAAACCTGCTCACCTACGCTCACGTCATGCTCGGTGAGCGCATCGTGTTGATGAGGTGAGTGTTAGGTGATGCTCAGTGAGCTGATCACTGATCGAATCAGAACACCTCAAGATTACTAGGCGCAGTGGAGCACCGAGCTACGAAGGCGCCAAATACTTTGAGCGGAATAGTCCAGCTGTTGAGCTGTCACAACGATAAGTAGTTTTCCATATAGAAGACTGCCTAAAGTTTGACATTTTCTTCTTCTGGTCAGCCTTCGAGAGAACGATTTTGTTATCATTTTCGACTACCCCCTTCTTAGCATTACCCCCGGTCTCAAGAAAGTTATATTCTTGGGCCACCAGGTCATGATTCCGGTCCCTGAGTAGTTGACTTCCGGTTCAACTATACTAATTCAGCCTTCTGGCAAGTCCCCACAAATTCTATGAGGGAGAGAAGAAAGCCACTGTTTATAAGAGTGTTGCGCATCGCTTTCGGATGTTTCATGACGCCAGACATGTTACGCGTCACTTTGACACTATTCATTTAAACGAGGAGCCACTCGAGTACAACTGGTGTAAAATAGTCTTGCTACATAAGATGGCTTTCTAGCTCCATGCCTTTGATGAGCATCATGTGCGCAGTCGCTGGCGTTGTCCAAATCCGGCGCAGGAACTTCAGAGACAAGGATGAGCAGGCCATGATCCACTAAGTAGCAATTAAGCGGGGGCCTTGGTCTTTGAATAGATATAGAAATGCAACTGTCTGCCTCGTCGGGGCAGCGCATGCAGCGATATAGCCTAGTCTCACACCATCACGGCTTGACGTCCAATCGTGCCATGCAGGTTGATCGCACCAGCGTCCAATTGCCTACCGGGCCTGACTTCGTCGCTGTTGGTTCTCGGGTATATAAAGGGCCTCCTTGCCCTAGCCGGTTGCATGCTCTGATATTTTCTTTTCCTTCCCCCAGGCCGGCTTGTACCGGCTCCTCCCCTGAGCGTGGCGACTAAAATCACGATGGCAATCCCTTCCAACACTATTGTTATAGCCGACGACGAGGAACTTCCAAGGCTCGAGCCAGGTAGCTTACGACCTCAAAGGGCCCCGCGCCGTGATTACAGTTACCAGGACTTTGAGAGCATAATCATTGAATCAGTTAATGCGGAGGCGGATACGACACCATCGCGCAAACGCAGAGGAACCGAAACAAAGGAGCCGTCTGCTTTGGTACCAATTCCTCACAATATGTTTTTCCTCCTTAACTAATAATGGACCAGGACGACGCTTTCGGGGGGCTCCGAAAGGCACTTAACCGTGAAATCCAGCTGTTACAAGAGAAGAATAGAATGCTTCGAGATGAAATTCGCCTGGAGAGGGAGGGGCACCAAAAGACGCAAGAGGAACTTTCCCAACAAAGAGAAAGGCGTATCTTAGAGTGCAGTGTCTGCTTTTTGCAGCCAGATCGATGGGTGACTATTCTATGTGGGCACATTGTTTGTAAGTCGTGCGCAAAAAATCTTGCAACGCCGAAGAGATGTCCTATCTGTCGTGCACCTTTCACAGGTTATGTCGAATGCTACCCTTTTGCAGGATGAATCATGTATATCGTGTTGCAGGTTTAGTTCAATGATTAAAGTTTAAACACGGAGAGTTTAAGCACAGAAGCCGTCTTTCTGCGTTGCTTTCGCCCATCTACTTTCAGCGGGACAACCGAATACTATTATCATGGGAAGGAGCTCCGGGCAATATTTCGGAATTCCTTCCAAAGCCACACAGTAAAGCCTACACTTCCAAGAGGTATTTTAATTTTTTATACCAAGTCGCTTAATAAACACCTTTCTTTACAATATATCGCTTGAGATCGATAAATCCGGGTAAATTGAGGTTGCACTTGATAGTTGCAGTATGTAAAGCCCAGATTGTCTGAAGCTTCTGTACTATATAGAAGCCATGCAGTTCCGGCTCGAACAAAGTCATTCTGTGTTCCGACCTCCAGTATTGTGCCCCTTGCACGGTACCTCATTTACTTTTCTCTACATGTTCAGCTCCTCCATTATTTCTGTTGATCTATGACGTACCGTTTCCGCTTGATGGTCTGCCTCTGGTACTTTTCCCAGCCTTTTCCAGGTCTCGTTCAGTGATCAGCCTCGGGACTGGATAGTACGAACCCTAAAGGAGTCAGCCTTCTACGTCTATAAGACTGTTACGCGGCAGTATACTATTTGTGACTTGAGAAAGTCCCGAGACCCCGTTATATCCGCGGATAGAATAAAGACCTGGCCTGTCTCACGTAACCGTATCCCCGCACAGACGTCTGCGTTACAAGTTTTGCTGTATTCGGATGCCTTTTTCATTAGACAAGTCTTGCGGCGCCCTTGTTTTTGACGCATCTGTTTTCTATTCTTTAGGAGATATGATTGCGAGGAATTCGTCGCAGCCATAGCAGCGCGTGCGAGATAGGATATCTGGGAATGAAATTACGAAGTGGAAAACAAAGCAGAGAAGCAAGTGTTTTAAAAAAATTCGGGGACTCGCTTCAAATGTGCAAAAGCGCAATAGTCATGTTTTACAGCGGCAATGTTGAGAGCGAAGGAATAGGAGTGTTATACTTGCCCTTGGGTTTTCGTGGGAATCAGCTGGAGGTGACTTAATGCATGTATTCAAGACGTTCTCGATGATGCTTAGCGCGATCAAGTTCATCTTCCCAATTCCGGACGCCTCACTACTATTAATAAGTTAGTCTTGGAAAGGACTCAACTCGCGAATTGTATTTCGTATGTGGCCACAAGACTTTTGCCACTGATGACGATCTATTGACAAGGTCCTACGCCCAGGGAGAGACGTTACCGATCCCCATTTAGTTCCATATGAATATTTCTCAAATTGGAAACGATCCGATTGATTGTCTAAGGACCTCCACGTTGGAAATCTCCTTTTATATGTACCTGTTAGCGGTGTATGGCGAGGACGCTTGAACCATACGCTTTGTTTATAGGATAATTGGCATGGTCTTATTCCGTCATACTTTCTTGAAGCCTGTGCGTACTCCAATAAACTTGGATTGAGCCAGGGCTTCTTCCGGGAAATCGATCTAAAAATAAGCTCGTCACCTCTGACCACGGTCTTTGCCCGTCTCTTCTTAAATCCAGCAGAAAATTCACCTCTTCCGAAGACCACGGCAAACGCCTCCTGGGTTTTCGTTGGACCTTGTTGCGCGTATCACGAGATCGCGAATTCCGTGGTCTTTTTGTGGACCACTCATCTCCATCTTCACATGCTGTGGACATCGTTCGTTGACGACGTCTTCTGCGTCTCACAAGTCGCGATGATGCGTTCTCGGAGAAACCTTCGGAGCGTGAAGACTGATCAGGAGGCATTTCTGCCATAGACGGGCGGTGAGAAACTTCCGGAAGGAACGTCATGAAATAGGCATGTCGAGGACCACGAGCTTCGATACGAAGAACTCCGCGGCCGAAAATCTCTTGTGTTTCACCTGATGTGACAGCCAAACCACCACCCTTCGAGGGCATTGGGGACTGAGTAGTGCATTCCACCACGATAGCATTGCTCGGGGCTAAGTGATTCTGCTTTGCCCTCTTCGGCCTTTTCGGTGGGTGTCCTGTCGTCTTGGAATTGGATCCACCTGAAAATGGTGAATACTCTCCCGTCGATGCCCGCATTGTCCCGTCATTGTTGAAGTCGCCGCTGCCGCCCCAATTGCTACGTCGTGCTCTGGCCGGAGCATTCGTCTTGGTGCTTGCCGCCGATTCATCGACTCGACGGGCTGGGATGACCACAGAAACGGCAGGGAATTGCTCTGGTCGGGTAGAGTCTGCATTTGGTCGCGGACGCAAGGAACATGTGCTTGCCAGAGTGGCTTTAGACTGCTTGATTGAACGAGTGCGAGGCCCATGACGAAAAATTACAGGAGCTTGGCTCTCTTCAGTGAGCCTGACTCCTTCATCCTCATCCGAAATAGCCTCGCTGATTGAGGGTTCATTGACCTGAACACTTTGTATTGTCACCTCACCCCCCAGAACTCCCGTCCGACCTCCATTGTTTTCTGGCCCGGACATAGTATCGTCTTCAACGGATTCGTCTTGTATGATTGTGTCAATACTGGGCCATGCTGGCAAATCGGGCAAAGGTGATGGCATGACACGCGGGCAATGCAAGTTGACTTCGGGTGGAGCAGGGCCATTGTCGGTCTCATCATAAGTTCCTAACGACGAGATACTGTCTCGACGCCATCTTAGCAAGTCGGTTGGGGTGACGGTTGGGGTGACGGGCGGGTCTATTATGAGTTCAGGAAAATAAGTCGAACAAAAAGATAAGATTGACGCCTACCTGAATGATGCAATTGAGATTCTGCTGATATCAAAGCCGTATCTATGTCACTATGAACCTCTCCCACAGGGCACCGGTCTGGATGATCTGGTGGATGATATTAGTTAAGCTCGCTTGCCCCGGCCCACAAGAATCCTGACATACCAGTAAACAAGGATGTGTTGTTGCTTTGAGGCACATCGATTCGGCATTCGTTTAACAGCCCCGAGTCGAGAGGCATGTCCAAGTCTGTCTCGTGCGTGACCTGGCTGTTATGCCTCATAGCTCTCCCTATTTCGATATCAAATTCACTGCCTGCATGTGAATCCAAGGCTTCCCTCACAGGAGCTCGAATTTGCGGAGAGACATCAAGGCTAGCATCGGATTCTGAGTTGAAGGTCGTTCCATGAACTTGCGGTCTCGGCGGCGGGGCACGGGGAAGAGTTTGTGGAGCTAAAGAGGCCTGATATGGCCTCCAACGAGAAGCAGCGACGTCACGCGAGGAGGACTTTGTAGGAGGATGAGAGTAGAAGCTAATTTTATCGAGGCTGATATTCATGGCGGCCATAATCTCCAGACAGCAAATGAAATGTGCTTGGATAGAGAAATGGGAAAAAGGGCGGGAAGTGTTCATAAAGTACCGAAATCAGTTCTCAAAATAACGCCAAGCAGCATCGCCACACGGAGGTTGCACATGTCCCCATCCACAGGCAAGGCTTACGCGATTAGCAGGGTGTCGTTGAGCTACAGGGGGGTTTATGAGAGTTTGGACCCACAGGAAAGGAGATAGCTCCATTCCATGTCAGATTTGTCCTCACCCAGGGGCCATGGTCCGCATGTCCGAACAGTCTGACGGGGCTGCCCTGCACGCCGCTTCTGTAAATCGGTATGCCTGTGCATGAGATGGCTGCCATGGCAGAGGACCAGTTCGCTAGATTGATCCCTCTGGTCTTCTCGTGGAATGAAGACAAGCACTTCTGCCGTTACACACCAGCCTCGCAGGGCCTAAATCCGCAATATCTCAGGTTCCGAATCGTCGCAATCCCGTGCAGATGATGCACCGCCTGGCTACAGTCACGAATGCGCCCACATCATTGTCCCGCCAACCGGAGCAATCCGCGACGGCCCCTCGGCGGAATCATCATGCAGCCCGCTCGAGAGCCTTTTCACATGTCATTATCTGTTGGGGATCAACGGAGCGTCTTCGTGCCCACACCGGAGGACGGGCACCCCGGGAACGCAAGAGGCATTTTTGCCATTGGTGGCTACACTGCGCCGAGCAGGTGCACACACCACATGCATACCGACAAGTCATCGTCCCGTCTCGGATGAGACTCGGCCTGTAATAAGTTCCCCGAATAGGAAGGAATACTTCAAGAGGTTTGGACCGGGCTCCAGTAGGCAACTCCCAATGGGCATGAGACCATTTTGGGGGGCAGACAAAACAGGCAAGCACGCCTCCATCCAGAAATGATCAGCGATTCACGCTGACATCGACCAAGTCGGAGGCCGAGAGCGAACCGTCGCAAAGACATGAGTGGGGAGCGAAGGAGGCGTAGCACTCGTTGTGGGAACGGCATCTCCGAGGGGTACGGGGCCAAAACGGTGGCGTCCGCGCCCGTGCGCTGTGCCCGGGCGATGGAGTGCAGAAGGAGCGTATGGGTGTGGGAAGGAAACGGGAAATGGTTGAGCGACGCACCGTCCGGACTATATAGTTGACGAGGGCCCGCGAGGGCGGTGATGAGAGGCAGATCCCGTCCGGGGAAAGCGCGAGACACTATACCTGATCGGGACGACGCTAAACCGGACCGGACCCACGACGGACGGGCGCTAAACCCAACGTGGGGGGTTGCCGGAAACGGCCCCCCTCTGGTAAATGCAACTTGTACTTACCCTTTATACTTATATATCTATTTCCCTTTTATTCCTATATTTTTATCCTCTTATATATCTCTCCTTAAATTATTTGCCCTTCCTTATCTATATATCCTTATATATTTCCTTATATATTTCCTTATATATTTCCTTATATATTTCCTTATATATTTCCTTATATATTTCCTTATATATTTCCCCCTATATATCCCCCTTTATATATATCTCTTTATATTTTTTTCCCTTCTTGCCTTCTATTCTATATATTTCTATATCTATATTTCTATATTTATATTATTCTTTTTATCCTTACTTCGAAATATCCTGAACCTTTATAATATATATCTCCCTTTCTATTATTTTAATATTTCTACTTTTCTTTATATATCGATATATTCGATCCCTCTTCGTTTAATGATCCTTTCTTCCTATATATATCCCTTCCCCTATAATCTATATATTTAAATCCTATTTATTTCTAAATTCTCTATATCGATCTATATATATATATATATCTCTATATCCCTTCCAAATTCTATTCTATATATTTCTTTCTTCCTATACCTTCGTGCTAATTCCTCTTAATATATATCTCTGTGCCCCTTTAATATTGATATAAACCTTGCCCTGCGTCTTCTAAACCCTAAACCCCTTTTGCTATATAAATCTGCTTGTACGTAAACCTGCCTTTTTGCATTGCTATTTTCTGACGGCCGTCACCATTTATACCTACCTACCTATATATCTCCCTTTACACACTGGTGCTTTCTGACGGCCGTCACTATTTATACCTACCTACCTATATATATCCCTTTACATACTGGTGCTTTCTGACGGCCGTCAACATTTATACCTATGACCTATATCTACCTTGGTATATGGCGTTCTTCGGACCCCGTTACCATTGATGCCTACCTACCACGATAACGCCTATTCCCCCTACTCCGACCGAATACCGCTTGTGAACCGTAACACCCTCTCGCCTGAACTATATATCACCCAAAACCCCAACATCGATAACCCTAACCACGATGCTAACTGAAAACCCTTACTGGAACCGTCTTTACTATAACACCGATAACCCTAACCACGCGTCTAAATCAAAACCCTTAACGGGACCTTCTTTATCATACCACTATATAATTGGCCTACCGGACCGTCTTTATTATATATCTCTATATAACTACGTACTGGAACCGTCTTGGTCATACCCCTCGAAATCACCACTGACTGGGACCTTCTTGGTCATACCTCTTAATAACGACTTGCTGGGATCGTCTTTGTCACACCTGATATAAATGCTGACCGGACCGTCTTTGTCGTACCCCTATATAAAACCCTAACACTCTACTTGAACTATAACACCGATAACCCTAACCACCATTCTGACTTAAACCCTTCCCCGGACCGTCTTTGTTATATAACTCGACCTTAACGATATCACCGATATCCCTAACCACGATATATAAAATCTAACCCTATGGGGGCCTCTGGGAATGTTCGGACTCAAATATATATCTCTAATACAAACGCATCTATCCAAACATATATCTCTATTATAAACGCATCCATCCAAATATATATTTACTATATCTTTGCAATCTCACTAAAACCCATACTCGTGGTACATCCGACGTAACCAAACATACTCATGCGCTAACCGGGAATGCCTGGTGTCCACGGACTGCGCCAAATACTCTCGTACCGCGTCCAAATCCGTCACCCGGACACTGGCGCTCTGCATCCGCTGGCACCACCATTCATACCCTCCCTGGCGCCCATCGGGCCATTGCCAATGGATCAACATCGCCATCATCGGATACAAAAACTGCCGGTACTCACATTGCCCCCTGGCCTCCCAACCGGGACAAATCGACTGCGGCATCCCACACGAATAACAACAATAAAATCCTCCCGCGGCATACTGCATCGAATCCCGAATCGCCCGCACCCATCGTCGACACTCGCCACTCTCGTCCGCGGGGCAATTCCATAAATCATGCTGCACATTATCCCGCTGCGCCTGCACACATAACCAACATCGGTGGTTCCACTGCCGTGCCTCCTGCGCCAAAAACTCCTCGTCCGATAACTGCTGCGCTTTTAACGTCTGCACACGCTCGGAAATCGCCGTCTGCACCATCTGCTGCTGGCGATATCGGTGCTGGGCCTCGATGGGAACCTCGTGCGCGGACGGGCTGTGGGGACTGCTTGGCTCGTCTTCCCGCATCTCGGCGTCGCTGTCCTCATGGCTGCCTTCGATCACGGACTCGGCCGCCTCCCAATCCGGGTGACATTGATCACACCATTGCTCATCGACTCCGAATGGCCCGTCCTGGTCGCCGCATCGCTGCCGGGTGTACCCATCGATGTCCCCATCTAAATACCTATCCAACAACACTCGCCGACACTGATACTCACCGGTGATGTATTGCCGGACTAACTCCAACCCGGCTTGCTCACGGTCCGTGTTCTGGTCAAACCATGCGGGAACCTCGTCAAACCCTTCGGGCTGGATGATGATGGCCTCACTGGGTAAACGGTCTCGCCCGGCACGGCCACTTTCCTGTGCATAATCTAACAATGACCGGGGGAACCCAATATGAATGATGCATCGAATATTGGGAATGTCCACACCCATTCCTAACGCACTGGTGGCCGCAATCACCCCATTGGACGCACTGCGGAACTGCTCCAAAATGCCTAACTTTTTATCCTGGTTGCTATAAAATGCCGCACATCCTAATATCTCCGCCGCCTGGGTCACGATGGACTTATTGCTGCCGTACACAATCACTCGACCGGGCCGCGCACGTCGCACCCGTTCGTGGATAAAATGACGGACACCCGGATCCTCTAACCATTGCGTCTGGGAACGATATCTCGATGCAATCACGGGCCGGTACACCCGGTATGCCACGTTATGACGACTGGTACGCTCGCGGTGCATACTGATGTCCTCCCGCGTCACTTGCATTCGCTGAAATAACCGGCTCTCCTCGCATGGGGGTAATGTCGCGGTCAAAAACACCATCTGCACGCCACACTGATGCAACCGACCTAATTGCTGTAACCGTGGGCGAAACTTCTCGGACTCGTTCAACATCATATGGCATTCGTCAATGACAATCCGATCTAACCGCATCAACTCGCGCTGGCGGTTCAAAAATGACTGGAACCCATCCGTGAATACGGACTCGGGCGTGACGAACACAATGGCCGCATGATCGGGATGTCGATTGCTATCCCACTCGACACATGGAATGCCGGCCGCCTGGCATCGCTGTTGCAAATCCGCACGTAATGCCGTCAATGGCACCACTACAACGGTCAATCCGCCGCGCTGGGCCACCCACGCGGGTAACATAAACAACATGCTTTTCCCACCGCCGGTGGGTATCACCACGACCACCCGGGAATGGCCGGCTTGAATCGACTGGATGGCGGCCCCCTGCACCCCACGGAACTGCATCGTGGGCTGTCCGGTCATCCGCTGTAACGCCTCGGTTATGTTGGTCGTCTCGACTAAATGCTGACGCTCGTCCCGCATTATAACCCCCTCGTCCTTCCACCGGGGCTGCGGCCGCTTACCCAATACACTACTGGGGATGTCCTTAATGTCAAACCCTAACAAATCATGCCAATGCACGCTGCTCGTCCGAAACCCGGCCTGTCGGCCTGCCGTGGTCCCCT